AAATGGCGAAACAGAAGGGTAAACAAAAAGAAAACAAATGGTTTACTGAAAAATGCATAAAGATTTATATTCTAAATTGGCGAACACTTCAAATGAGCGTTCCAAATTTGTATGAAGCTTTGAACATGAAAATTGTTGAGTCGTTTACATATGGTGTTCGGGAGTACAATTTCCACATAGAGCGACTGTCAATGGGCATTCAATCAAGGCTCTCGTGGGAGGGCGTGACAGCGGCAGCCGGCGGCGTACAACATCCAGCGGCGGCCAGGAAACCCCATCCCAACCCACCGCAACCCCCCCCCCCCCAACCCCCCCCCCCACAGTTGCAGCAGTCCACCAGGCTCCTAAGTAGTTGTGGGGTCTGAATGGCCCATATGGTCGCTTAGCAAAGTGGATCCTTCATCTCTCGCTGCTAAATTTTGAGGTGGAACATCGCTGTGGGGTCGACCTACCGTACGCGGACGCACTGTCCCGGGACGCGTCTACCGCACGCGGACGCACTGTCCCGGGACGCGTCTACCGCACGCGGACGCACTGTCCCGGGACGTGTCCACCGCACGCGGACGCACTGTCCCGGGACGCGTCTACCGCACGCGGACGCACTGTCCCGGGACGCGTCTACCGCACGCGGACGCACTGTCCCGGGACGCGTCTACCGCACGCGGACGCACTGTCCCGGGACGTGTCCACCGCATACGGACGCACTGTCCCGGGACGCGTCTACCGCACGCGGACGCACTGTCCCGGGACGCGTCTACCGCACGCGGACGCACTGTCCCGGGACGTGTCCACCGCATACGGACGCACTGTCCCGGGACGCGTCTACCGCACGCGGACGCACTGTCCCGGGACGCGTCCACCGCACGCGGACGCATTGTCCTGGGACGCGTCTACCGCACGCGGACGCACTGTCCCGGGACGTGTCCACCGCACGCGGACGCACTGTCCCGGGACGCATCCACCGCACGCGGACGCACTGTCCCGGGACGTGTCTACCGCACGCGGACGCACTGTCCCGGGACGCGTCTACCGCACGCGGACGCACTGCCCCGGGACGCGTCCCACCGCACGCGGACGCACTGTCCCGGGACGCGTCCGAGGGACTGAGAGCGGCGTTGAGCAGAGGACGACTGAAAATGACGTGACCTTCATGACTCGCGCCATGCAGCTCCGACGGAAACCAGCGTCTAGAGATGCTGGTCACCCGTGCGCCGTACGTATATCTATAACGCAGGGTCAGTTCCAGAAACCGGGAGAGTTTCCGGCGTGGCGGTAGCTGCGCAGAGGGCCGGGGCTTCGCGACTGACCGCGGCAGCGGCGGCGGCGCGTGATGCTGGTGCCCGAGCCACGCCGGGCTCTCGAACCGCGCGTGCTGATGGCTCTCGAGCTGCTGCGCGTGCTGTTGATGCGCGGACGCCACCTACTACCGGCACGCAAGTGCCATCTACCGCAGACTCACTGGCGCCACCTGTGGCCGGTGAGGTGCAGCTAGAAACTGTGGCTTCGCGGGTTCTGCGGGAGGAAATGGCCAGGGAAATAGTGCTCTCAAAGGTGGTTTGATGTGTTCAAGGTGAGCCCATCGAGGCTGCCAAGGCTTAACTTGAACTTTAATACTCCCTGTCTCAGACACCCTTCCTTTTCACGGAGGAGCTTTCACGGGGCTTTCGTAGCGTCTTACGAACTCGGACCGTAAACCACAAGTTGTCACGTCTGGCATTGTACGTCCGAGAGTGTTGGAACTCGCACACGACATCGCTGGAGCGGCACATTTCGGTGTCGATAGGACGCTGGGTAGAATCACACGCAACTTTCTTATTTTAAGTTGAAGAAAGACGTGCGGGAATACTGTCGCTCGTGTGTGCTGTGTGCTCGAGTGAAGAGACCGAACAGTCCCCGCAGCGGGGATGTTGGACATGTACCTGTGCTTGGGTAGCCCCTCATGCAGTGGTCAGCTGACATTATGGGACCAGTGGCCATGTTCAGATAGGGGGACTACTGCATTCTTGCGGTGTCTGACCTCTTGACTAGTGGGTGGAGGTGTCCAGATTGCCTGACCGGCGAGCTGTGACGGGGGCAAGTTGTGGAATAGTTCGCGCGTTTCTCGATCCCGAAGTCGATCTTGACTGATGAGGGTACTGACTTTGAGAACTAGCTGTTTCGACTTCTGTGCCAGAAGTTTGGCGTCACAAAACTGCGCTGTACACCTGCTCACGCGGATACAAACGGCCAGAGTGACTGAACCGAACGCTTCGTGACTGTCTCACGTATTATGCGAATGACAACGAGTCGGAGTAGACAAGTGGTTACCATTGATTTAGTCGCGTCTAGGGACAGTGTTTCACAATTCTACTGGCTTTACGCCGTTCAAAAAAATGTGTGGGTTTCCACCACGCGCACCGTTGCTATCGGAGTTAGCTGATGACTGGGACCGAGTAAAGAATATGTCGTATCGCTCGTACTCATGTGGTCTGCGGACGTACTTGGCTGTTGACGCTGAAGCGTTGGGGAACATTTTGGCCATGCAGGTTGGGTCTTGCGTGCCAAACGAAAATGACAGTTGTGACGGAGGCAAGGTTATGTTGAAACTGCAGATGGCTCGGCATGGGAAAGTGAAGAAGTTGAGCTTTCGTTTCGAAGGCCCCTGCCATGTCGTTCAGGTGAAGAGACCTGATGACTTCATCTCTCGTGGTAGGAAAAGGAAGCTTGCCTATAGGTCAAACATGAAGAAAGTGCCTGCTGGGGTCAACGATGCCGTGTCGAGTGTTCCGAGTGTGCCGCATGCCGGTGCGGCGCTCGTGTGGGCGTCTGAGACTGTAGAGCCTGCTCCACAGCCGCTGATGTGTCGAGTGTTCCGAGTGTGCCGCATGCCAGTGCAGCGCCCGTGTGGGCGGCTGAGACTGTAGAGCCTGCTCCACAGCCGCTGATGTGTCGAGTGTTCCGAGTGTGCCGCATGCCAGTGCAGCGCCCGTGTGGGCGGCTGAGACTGTAGAGCCTGCTCCACAGCCGCTGATGTGTCGCAGACTGTCGACCAGGAGATCGCTGATCCCGGAGTTGCCGAGTCACCCTCGACAAGTGCTGGAGCGTTGCTGACGCTTTGTACCACACACAGAGTGGTGGGGCTGTGAACCTTGTTGATGGTTTGGAGTATCAAACGTGGTAGGCTTTTCGTCCTTTCTTTTGTAAGGGAGGATGCTGTCGGCCGCCTTTGATTAAGTGGCCTTGTTTGACTAAATGTATCATATTTGACCACGTAAACTAATGCATAATATCAACATTATTGTATAATCATATCAACATGATTAATTACAACACAACATCATAAACATTGTATGTATGTATATGTATATGCCTAAAAATGCATAAATACACCTATGCATGATGCATATGTGTATATGCATATATGCATATATGCAAAGCTCTTGTAAATGGTAGCAAATTTAGTGTGCAATATCTTCTTTTCAGCTTTTTGATATTCGAATACACTTTCTCTTAGGTGACTCAATGAGATGCATTAAGTTTATAAATGCTTGTAGCGTTTTGTTCGACATGGGACATCATCGGTTGGTAATTGAGGACAAGTGAGGACAATATTAAAAATAACACTACAACCAACCTAAGACATGAATGCGGGTGACGATGATCACAGGGAAAATTCGTAGTGAGCCGATCACGCTGGTTCAGAAATAAGCATGGGGAACTCGTTCAAGATTCTCGAGCGAGCCCTCTGCAGGGAAAGTCATCCTATTCTGACAGCATGTGGCGAACCGACAAACCAGCGGAGTGTGCCCGCTGCGTTGACCTGGCGGCTGATCACAGGGTCGTTGTCGCGGATATATACTGCTCCCAGCACCTGGAGCCTCCGCCTGTTGCACTCACCGCCGTTTTCGCCTGCCTGTTGTGCCCTGTCGCACGAGCCGCGATGTCCGCCCCCGGTGGGTCAGGCCGTAACGGTGGCTCTGGCACGCCGGTCGTGCTTCCGTGACAGTGTGCCGTCGCCGCCGGAGCACCCGGCCGGCAGCCGCCAGGCACAATCGCACTGTCGTTGGCACGGCCACAACCCGTACCGGACCCGTCGCTGGCACGGCTTCAAACCTCATTGGACCCGTGTCTGGCACGGCCACAACCCGTACTGGACAAGAGTGTGTACAGCAAGAGACCCGTGCAGCAAGAGTGTGTGCTCTGACCATCCGCCGTCCCCAGTGTACAGCAAGAGCGTGTGCTCTGACTGGTCGCCGCTCGCAGGCTATGGCGGGGGTAAGGTGTGTGACTGCCAGTCGGGCATACTGGGCACACTGTTTCTGCGTACTGCACTGCATACCGCATACTGCGCTGAATATTGGGTCGGTTTCGCGTCCCTCAGGGCCTTGCTGGCCTGTGCATCATCCAGGCGTAGAACAACGCCTCTCCCACGCTGACGCCAGCGATGCCGACCACCCAGCGCAAGCGGCGCCGCCGGCTGGCCGACGACACCATGCCGGGGCTGACTACGGTGAGCGCCTGCCGACGGCACCATGCCCCAGGCTGACTAAGGTGAGCGCCTGCTGGCGTCGGGCCGGCAGGCGGGAGGAGCCCGGGACGGCGGCACAGGGCAGTGCCGAGGACAACCCTGCCTGTCGTGTTCGCTGCCTCCGCTGTTATGTGGCATCGCGCACCCACCGCACCTCCACGTCGGACGTGGGCCTTCATGTGGTGTTAGGAAGGCGGCACATTTCGTTGTGACCCCTTCCATGGCGCGCCGGCGACTGCAGAGGTCGCATTAGCGCCGTTTTTTGATATTTGCTATGTCATTTATGCCCGAATCTTAATGATGCAGTCATCTTAGACCAGTACTGGACTTCCGTCTTCTTTTGGTATCCCCATGTATGCCGTGCATGGACAACACTATCATATGCAAGACGGCGTTCACCGTTGTGAAGTTCATGATCATTTGGAAGCATTGCTGGCTTTTGTACTCCGCATGCAAATTGCAAAGGAAGGTCTCCAAGATAAAAAGACAGCCCTGTTCAACATGCGATGTATTTTTTCCCCAACATGCATGAAAACGGCCGTAGCACGACATTGCTGCGCGCGCCGGAAGCTCTGCTCAAGGACAACAGGCGGAAGCTTTGGTTGTCCATTCACAGACACCATCGAGGGCATGTAAAAGCGGAGGAATAAAAGATGTCGTTTTGCGTCCATTATGTCTCACTGGTATCAATAAAATGCACAATGCCTCCTTTTGCGCTGTGATGGGGAGATCAGTGCTGCAGCGGTAGGTAATAGACATCGGCGTGCTTGCTGCAGCCGTTGACGTGGTAGTAACTGTGGTCGTCGTCGATGTAGCAGTCGATCGGGTCCATGCTCTTGTCGAAGCACACTTCCAGCTGCGAGAGCAGGAACCTGCCGGTGACAAACAGACACCGGTTGTATGTCAGCCCAAGCCAGCCTAATCGTCACTCATCCAGCCAGTCGTAGCAGGGCAGGCCAGTTATCTGCCACCTGGCGGTGGGAGGCGTAACTAATCCTGCTCAGGGGGCGATTGGATTCCAGTGCGTCGTCTACACAGGGGGGCGAAGGCATGTAGATGATTGGTAAATTTTGGACTTTACGGCGTCAAAGGCCATTAGCGATCAAAGTTATAGACACAAGGGGGGGGGGGCACGGGGGCACGTGCTTCTCTTAGGGTCCCAGGGGCCAACTGGAGGGCCTGACGGGCCGCCTGGAGGTCGTGTTTTGGTTGTCCGGCGAGAAGGGCCCGGGCCCCAAAGATGTCAGAGGGCCGCTTGCGTCACTCCGACGTCACTGGTCCGCTGGGACGATGAGGGCCTCTGTGTTGATCAGAAGCCACCGATGCGAAGTCGGCCCAGTGTCAGCTTGAGCCCTGGCAGTCCATTTCCTAAGCAGGAATTAAACAACAAATGGAAGGAGATATGGTAAGTGACAATGGAAAGGTTTACGATAAGAAAAAAATTAATGTTGTGGCATGCAGGGGCCCAGTACCGAGCGGGGTTTTCCCGCCCGATGGCCCCAGGGAGTCGGATGACAACAGTCCCTTCGTCCGTTTCAGCCAAGGGCCCGATTGGCCGAACTGGGGCCTATGTGCCCGTCATCAGATCGTTACACCAGTAAGGGACCCTTTCGCGTTAGTGCAAGTTCCTACGTCAATCTGGGCGTACGGGCTCGCACAGATATATACGGAACATGCACTGACAATAAAAAGAAGCAAGAACTTGATGACAAGGACAACCGTAACGTTCACAAATGTAATTCCGCAAGGTTCCGATACATCGAGACGAGTTCCGATCATCCGATCATCATCAGGACGAGTACAATGGTCCAAAGCCGCAATGCAGCCTAAATCAATGTAATCGACATGACAGCGGTCCCAGCTAAAGCCCTGTTCCCATCACTGTTCCGTACCGGAAGCCAAGCGGCCGCATCCAGAACGCCGGGCCGGGATGCAGCTGGCGGTGTGAACCGGGGAAAATTTAATACCGCCGGCTTGCTTCTCCCACCGGCCGGCAAGGACCCAACCGCGCCGGGAGGGGAAGTTGACATCGGTTCAACTTTTGACCGGGCCGACGGAGGCGAAAGACCGGAAGGGGAAGGGCATTCACTGTGATGCGCGCGTTTCGCGTGGTGATGTGACCAAGGGTACGGGCGACAAGATGAGGCAGGTATGCACTGAAGTGGGCAGACTTGCTGACGATGTCTATGTGTCTATCTGTTTTCTTGTCTCTCTGTCTCCCTTCTCCCTGTCTCTCCTGTCTCCTCTCCTCTCTCCTCTCTCTCCTTCTCTCTCTTCTCTCTATCTCTATCCTCTCTCTCTATCTCCTCTCTCTCTCTCCTCTCTCTCTCTCTCTCTCTCTCTCTCTCTCTCTCTCTCTCTCTCTCTCTCTCTCTCTCTCTCTCTCTCTCTCTCTCTCTCTCTCTCTCTCTCTCTCCTCTCTCTCTCTCTCTCTCTCTCTCTCTCTCTCTCTCTCTCTCTCTCTCTCTCTCTCTCTGTCTCGCCGTCTCCGTGCCTCTTTGTCTCTCTGCCTCGCTGCTTCACTGTGTCGCTCTCTCACTGCCTCTCTGGATTATCTGTACTACCTAATTATCGGCGAAAACCATGTACGACCTGACTGACAGATGTAGATATCCCTATCATTTATGCTACATGTCATCATCTGCAATATTTCTACTCAAAAATAGTTGCACATGAAAACGTCGTCTTTTTCCCTTTACGAAAGGTACGTTCTAAAGTATCGTCACGTGTTATTGTGAATTTCCGGACAGGTGCTGCTAGGTTCGATAAGGAGATTTCGTTTTCCCAGATTCAGATACCTTCTGCACATCTGGCGACAATTTCAACTCGCTTCCTTCCCGGTCGATCTACCCGGTTTTGCGGGTCGGAAAACTTGGTGGGAACCGGGCTTAACACAATTCAACGCGAGCGTTCCGCGCATAAACAGGACAGCTGAGAAATGCAAAAATCACGCGACTAAATATCATTTTAGTTCCGCATGAAAAATATACCTTATTATTTGTAAAGGACAAGCAGACCCAGCGATATTCAATGGCGGCCTTTGGGGTGAATATAAAGTAATCTTAAAATCCTAATTTCGAGAGTTGCCGCAACGCACTAATACGGAAAAGTTGTCAGTGAGTTCCACGCGGGAATGAATGATCTTGAATGGGCAAAGAGTCCGGGTTAGAAAAAGTGTTACCAGTGCGGTCAGATCTTCCCAAATGTTGCTGTACTCTGCGGTGCAAGCAACGACAGGTTGAATTCACGTAAGATGCTCTGCATTAAGCACAACAATATTCATAAATGAATGCAGAGATAGAACATTTGGAAGGTCTTATTTCATGTTCGGGAGAGACCAAACGGTAAAAATTTACTCGAATGGGTGTAGGAGACAGAAAACGGTAAGCCTGGTAGCAGGTTTGCAAGCTCCTCTTTCAGTGGTATCGACTGTTTCCAAAAAGGGCGACACCAAATATTCATTTAGCCCTAGGACGTCCTGAACGGTTGGGGCTTCTGTGCATGTCGCATCCAAGAAACTCTTTATTTAACAATTAATGATTGAAAGTGGAAATCTGTTCCCCTGAAAGAATAATCTGAGCCGATCAAGTTGGGAACAAAAGATTTTGTAGTTGGAATAGAAAATGAATGCTTTATAAATAGGTGTTTTTACACCATTGAATGTACTCACTCTAAAAGGTTAACTGCTGTCCCTACTATCAAGTTTTGATCATTAACACACACGCACACACACACGCACACACACACACATATATATATATATATATATATATATATATATATATATATATACATATATACCAGAAATGACCAATTCCGAAATATATGTGCCGTTTCAATCTTTTTTTAGAATATAACGTTAAAGCTATTTCTCATTTTGTTGACTCTTTTGATGCTCGGAAGCGCGCGCCAGCCCATATTGTTCCAGTTTCTTACATTGTCACCGCACAATCCAGGGTGCTCATTTTGTTGTGGGTAGAACATCATGCATTTTTGTTAAGGTTAAGAAGTTAATCAATCAACTGCTATAACAAAAACACAAAGTATAATAATGATAACAATCAAACAGCTCCGTCAGGCGTCCATGTCTCGAAAGCTTGAAACAACGATGCAGGCTGTCACTGGAAATTTGATGTCGATTTGCCCAGCGCATGCGGCTTCCAGTGAGCTGCCGTTGCTGAAGTCTGGTGGCACGCTGCCTGCGTCCCTTTGTTTATAGTTCGTGTTGTCTTACCCTGTTGATCTGTGGAAGACTACCAGGGAGGGACAACAGCGGCTTCCAGTCAGCGCCGCTAATGATACCTGGCAAGACTTTGTTCGCGCTAGCTTGCTTTCGTTCGTGAGGACCGGAAACATACAGATGCGTGGGCCACGCGTTTTCTGTTCACTCAGCTGTTCGGTTATTGCCTATTAAAGACAGCGTTCCACATGTGCATGGGGTTTTGAACTGAGATAACCTGCATAGTCTGATTTTTCTGCAGCATTGCCAATCCAACACATTTATAATACGCTTTATGGTTTTCAATGGCAAAATTTCCTCAAAATAAAAGAATTAAGTAATTTAAAGAATAATCAAAATATAGGATTCGATAAAAGTTAAATACACAAAAGTAGAAATCGATCGTTCTCGAAAATCTGTAATTTGTCCTGGCCGATGTTAATGGCTTGATATACAATGATCTTGAAAATTGCGGGCAATGTGCAAAACATATTCAAGAGAATTCTGGGACGTAGCCAGAACACCAGGTACCAAGCGATTTCTCAGGAATTTGGTCCAAAGTTGCAGGATTTTGCAAGAAATTTGGCAGTGGGCCACTTGAGGAACATTTTGGTGTATGTTCAAAGCGCTTGTATGCCTTGTATGTTCCTTGTATGTTAGTCACAACCGCCTTGTATGTTCAAAGCGCTTAAGCTACGTGCCTGCGAGGATGGTGCTGAGCATTTCGCAAGCATTGCGCCCTTTCATTTTCACGTTGCGCTAAATAATCGACAAAGATCCGTCACATATGTGGCTGCAAAGATCAGTCAAAAATGTCCTTCACCAGTCGGGCTCGGGTTTTTGACACGCACTACACATAAAAGCATACAACCTAAGATCATTTTCCTACGTTTTTTTAGGTTGTAACATGTCACCGATTTAACCTGGGCAAATCGCTTTCATTCATATCTTCTCTTTTTCAAGCTCGTTACATTCCTATTCCTGGTCGCGTGGAAGCCGCGCGTACCGGTCCCGCGGACACGCCCAGGCGCATCATCGCCAGAGGGGCAGGGACAAACGCCCCTTGTCATTTGCTACGGGAGAATTTAGGACAAGAGGAGACGCAGCAGCAGTGTGTCTCGTTGATCACCTTCGCCTGAGTCGAATGGATCCAGTTCATGCTGCAGTTGTTTGCACCAATCTGAACGCATCAAGCCAGAGGACATTTGACTGCGCTTAGGGCCGCACCAAGAACGGTGGTGGTGCAGACCTGGAAGGGGTATGTGAACCCCGTGACTCTCAGCTTGTGTGACGTTGAAATGTTTTTTATCGCTCCCGTAATAAATGGCCACATTTGTTGTTACTATTTTTCTATGAACAAATGGCTTTTTGCATGAAGCGTCCAACCCATAGTGTAGCTGAGTAAAAAATGCATGAAATGTACCCAGTGAAGCTCTGGTCAGTGTACATACACACGTTTATGCACTGATACCTTATATGACCGGCCGGTCTAGATGATGATACACTGCTAAGAAAAAACAAAAACCTGCGCGAGGATGCACCCGCTAGCATGAAGCGACGGTCGTCCTTCCATGCTGGGAGTGAGAGAGAATGATAGCCATTTTGATTATTTCTTTCCGGTCAACGCCCACGGCGTCAATGATACATTTCAGGAAGTTGTTGGTCTCAGCCTCATTTTCATCATCCCCATCATCAACGTTTCTTGGTCTACACCAAAATCATATCTTTTAAACCACAATCAATATCCATGATCAATGAAATGCATTGGAAACTGTGAGCCTTTCCTTGTCCTAGCTTCACTCACTTGTCAAAACAGCGCGCAGTTACTGGCGTATAAAATGCACAACAGTTGTCGATACTGAAAAAGTGGTGGCATAGATTTTGGCTATCCATGAATTATCAAGAAGATGTAATTTACGACAATGATCGCGGGATAGCTACATCTAATACGGTTCTGCGTTATTGAGATTGCTAAATTTGTTTACCATTTTCTTAATCAAAGTTTTTATGTTTGATTTGTGTCTTTCTTGCGATCTAATATTTAAATCTGTATGCGGCACTTTGCAAAAAATCTTCTCAACACACAATGCCAGTGAAACATTTGATAAAGATCAAAATTTGCAGTCAGCTGGCCATGTAAAAGGTAAAAATGGTTGCTGAAAATTATTCTTACCATTTCTGTTTGTTGTCATAAGTTTTTCTGTAGCATGTAGCGTCATGTCACTTAAGTCACTTTTTGCGACTTTTGTTAATGCCTGAATAGTGTCAGTGAAGGGGCAAACATTCTTGGACAAAATATTACAGCTATCCTTGCTTTCGCGCAGCATTATACACATGGCGAGCAGGCGGTTGTGAGGTGGGACATTGATATTTTTTAAAGAGAAATGTGGACGATTTCAAAACCACCATGGGGTGCTTATTTGGTGTTATTGCAAAATGTATCCACTACAGGACCACATCAGCAACTGGCTCTGGTTTTTCCATGCAAGTTATAAAATTGTGGCAATTGTGACCCAATCGAATCATGTCTGCTTATATACAGGGTACTGAACTGAGAAAACTTCCCACGACTTGAGACATTCAGCATATTTTACTCTGTCACTGCAAAATCATTAGTTGATGCATGCAAGTTTAGAAGAACGTGCCTGCATTCTATGGAGATGAGGTAGAAAAATAAAATATTTAGTGTACTTCAGTGAAAGACTAGTTTATTTTCCGCCTATCCCCCCCCCTCCCGTTTAGTTGATAACTGCCATCGCAGTGTTTAATATATACTTTGGTGCGTTAGAAATTCCAATGTCTAATTTGTAGCTGCTTTCTAAGCAGCATCATTGGCGTTTGCTAAACAAGTTGATGTATTAGATGACACTGATAAGTCATTCTATACACACTTTTAGAAACTTGACAAGAATTCAGGTGAAAGAACCAAATGCACGCTGTAATGACCTCGTACCTGCGTGTTGATGGCTGATCAGTGATGCAGCGCGGCGGGGCATAGTGGGCTGGATCATTAGCTGGGCGGGGCGGGCCGCGCTGCGGCCTGATGCCGTGGAGAAAGTCGTGTCTCTAGTCCAGGCCCAGCTTTGACCTTTCTCTATGTAATGATGCAGCATTCAGAGGATTTCCCCGGTCAAAAGTACCCAACATTATGTAAACGAAGACTATCAGCAAACCGTCAGCATCAGCAAACTGTGACAGATTGCCTCCAAGCGTGTTCCACTGGATCTATTGCATAGCGGATATTTTTTTGTACCCAGCATTGCTCAAAACAAACCTTAGTGGTTGTCATCCATTGTGTAGCCTTAGTGCCTTATTGGCAATTCAACTGGAGCCGTGTCTAGGTAACCAGCTATGCTAAGCAAGATTATGTCCTGACTAGAAAGACCAGTTCATAATCTGGTATATGCATTCTCAGTTACGCTGATTTCTCTACTCTCTTTAGCTGTCCAGTATGACTGAAAGGTCTAAAAAGCGTATTGACATTTTGATGAGCAATCCGTTTCAACGAAACCTTCACTCAGCGAAAAGAGAAATTAAAACCCCAAGGTGACGGCAAACAGGCACATGCTTTCATAACAGCGGCTTTAATCTAGTGAAGCCGTGAAAAAATTATCACATCTGTCTCCCGCTCGCCGCAAACGCGGTGTAGTATGACGGCTGCGCCAGCGCCACTCCACAAGTACTTGCTGTGGCTGCCAGGATACGCCTGAACGAAACAAGTGCTGCGAGTTTGAGCACTCCAACTTCTTAGTGACAAACTTCTCGCGCCGGCGGCCGAGGCATACTCAACGGAGGAGCGGTCGCCATCCGTTCCGTGATGTCCTTGATCTCAGAAGCGTGTTTTTTATAGTCAGCAGTTTGTTTGAAAGTCAGTTGAAATCAGCGAACTAGCACGGATCGTTTTCAACGTGCCCGGCATCAGCACCTCAACAATGCGGTGACGATTGATCAATGGTCAATTATCAATTCCTTTGGTCGGCAGTTGACCCTGGCTCTACCACTTCACAAATTCACCAAAAAAACCCAATGAGAGACCTCACTGCTACGGTGGTCTGGAGCAATCCTCCGCAAAATGCTCCTCTTTTTGATAGAACATGTCGCCGTGCAACGGGCTCAAGAGGTACCGCCGGTTTAATGAGATGATGTTAAATGGAAACCACCAGCTGGCCGAGGTTTTCCAATAAGTCATGCCTGCAGTGCCAGCTGTGTGACTCCATCGATGTTATCACGACTCGTTGAAATGGCTGCTGAAACTTTTGGTGTCATGTGTAGCAACGCTGCACCAAAGTCATAGTCATATATTGTGGAGCAATGTTTTCATGCCGAAGATTAACAATATCATGCGCTGATTTGTGCGTTATGTTCATGCACAATTTAGTCCCAACAGACAGTAAATCATATTTGCTATGTTAAGATTTACCCATTGGTATCAACTGACTGCACAACTTGTTTCTACTTACATCAATGAGTGATGAAAAATACAATACGCAGACGCAACTCATTTGCCGGTACCATTTTCAAACTGTAAAATTCTGCAGCGGATTAGCACGGATTCCAAGAATATTTTTTTCTGGAAGCCACACCGGATTGGATTGTATTTGAAAACACGGATTTACGGGCGGATTTGATCCATACTGGTCGGGTCAGATTGGACCGTACATCAAAAACGAAACCCTCGAGGAGCTCTGGATGTCAAGCACGATTGTAATATGTTGAGCGCACGCTTAGCGGCCGTTGACGAGTGCTTTCTCGTGCCTGGCAATAACGGGTTTCGTTTTTCCCGTCATGATGCTCACCCGTCCCAAGCTGATGCGTACCCGTCTCTGACCAGTCCTCTCCTCTCCCTGACGGGTTCTCTTCCGTCCCTGAACAGTCTTGTTTCGTCCCTGACCAGTTCTGTCCGTCCCTAACCAGTCCTGCCCGTCACTGGCCAGTTCTGTCCCATCCCTAGCCATTTCTGTCCCGTCCCAGACCGATCTTCCTCCGTCCCTGACGGGTCCTCTCCCGTCCCTGACCAATCCTGTCCCATCCCTGACCATATCTGTCCTGTCCCTGAACAATCGCCCCCTCTCTCGTCCCTGAGTCGGCTCTCACCTGTCCGGATCGGACTGATGCTGGCAGCTGAGAATGAAGCGGTAGTAGAGCGTCTCGTTGAGCGCCTGCAGGATGGTGTTCAGCTTCTGCGGCTCCTGGCTGGGTCCGATGCCGAACGACGCCAAGATCTGCGGCGGAAGGTGCGGTCCTCAGGCGGCCGCCGCCCACCGGCCTCAGACGGACAGATGGGGATGCGGCCCTCAGACGGCCGCCGCCCACCGGCCTCGGACGGACAGATGGGGATGTGGCCCTCAGGCAGCCGCCGCCCACCGGCCTCGGACGGACAGATGGGGATGTGGCCCTCAGGCAGCCGCCGCCCACCGGCCTCGGACGGACAGATGGGGATGTGGCCCTCAGGCAGCCGCCGCCCACCGGCCTCGGACGGACAGATGGGGATGTGGCCCTCAGGCAGCCGCCGCCCACCGGCCTCGGACGGACGGATGGGGGTGTGGCCCTCAGGCAGCCGCCGCCCACCGGCCTCGGACGGACAGATGGGGTGCAGCCCTCAGGTGGCCGCCGCCCACCGGCCTCGGACGGACAGATGGGGATGTGGCCCTCAGGCAGCCGCCGCCCACCGGCCTCGGACGGACAGATGGGGATGTGGCCCTCAGGCAGCCGCCGCCCACCGGCCTCGGACGGACGGATGGGGGTGTGGCCCTCAGGCAGCCGCCGCCCACCGGCCTCAGACGGACAGATGGGGATGTGGCCCTCAGGCAGCCGCCGCCCACCGGCCTCGGACGGACAGATGGGGATGTGGCCCTCAGGCAGCCGCCGCCCACCGGCCTCGGACGGACAGATGGGGGTGTGGCCCTCAGGCAGCCGCCGCCCACCGGCCTCAGACGGACAGATGGGGTGCAGCCCTCAGTTGGCCGCCACCCGCCGACCTCGGGCAGACAGATGGGGGCGCGGCCTTCAGGGGGCCGCCGCATCCAGCCAGTGGCTTTCCAGGCTAACCCGGCGAACTCAGTGGAGGCTGAGCCCTGCTAAGAGCCTCGCCAGCGACGAAAGCCGGGGGAAGCGGGCAGGAGGAGCAACTTACATCAGCACCGATCAGTTCTCGGGACCTGGAAAATAGGGCCGGGCCGCTCCTGTGTGCTATCGAGGTGGGCCTGATCCGCCGCGCTGCGGTGGTGGATGTGGACCAGTGAATGTGGATGTGAAGAGACGGACACGCTCTGGCAGGGGATGGCAGTGGGAGCGGAGGGGGAGCCATGCCCCTCTTCTCCTCCTCCCCTTCCTCCCCTCCACCGATGTTTTGTGCGGTGCGGCGGTGATATGTCATCATTGTCTGCTACGTTTGACACCTAAAAAACGTGATTCACTTAAAAAACGCTCACAGTGGGATTTGGTGCCCAGTCCTGCCGCTATGCCTGGTTGGTTCAGGCCCCAGTCTCAAGCTCAGCATGACTCGTGTTTGTGTTTGTCGGGTGGACGTGTAGGTTTGACGCACCACTGACCTGGAAGCCGTTGTAACGAATGACCTTGGAGAGGGCGGCAGAGAAGTAGCTCTCCTCGTCGGGGAAGTCGCCCGTGTCCACGGCGCATTTGCCGTGCTTGTCCCATTCGTGCTGGAACGGGAGACAACGCAGACAGTGACGCCTTCTCAATCACAGAGGTGACGACCGCCGAACAGCATGCTAACTTTCACAGGTGAAGGAACGTCTTACAACTGTAGGGTTGCCAATTATGAGGTTGTGTTATTTCATGCGTTCCCATCGGGCTACCCTAAGACATTCTCAAAAGAGTGAGGTCATGGCTCCCTGGCACCTTGTTCCTATGCCTTCACTCGACTATAGGGGCGAAGTGACCGAGTTGTTAGCCCCATGAACTCCTATGAACTCCCATGTGGGGGCCTGGGGCTCAAAGCCCAGTTGCCCCATGGCCCCTCGGCGTTAATATGGCCAATGCAGGCACTGACTCTCCATAAAAGGGTGCGTGGTGGCGTGCAGCGCGCTCGCTTAGAAAAGACTATGTCATACTCCATTCCTCCAGAAGTTCTGAAGAATTTTGCTAGCATCGGAAAGTCCATGCATGAACAGAGCACATATCATCCCCCAAAAGTCACTCGAACCTACCCCACCAGTTGGACCTGCTGGGATAGCCTGGCCGGCCTGTTCCGGAGGCTGGAAAGGTTTTGGAACGTCCACCTGTCCTCCCACTCTAATCCACCAGAAAGAGAAAACATGAGAATGTCTCGCCCTGGACGCAAGAACGTCCTGCGATGGGCACGAGATCGTCTCGCTTTGATCACGAGAACGCCTTGCACTGATCACGAGAACGTCTAGCCCTGGACATGAGAGCGTCTCGCCTTGATCACGAGAACGCCTCGCACTGATCACGAGAACGTCTAGCCCTGGACATGAGAGCGTCTCGCTTTGATCACGAGAACGCCTCGCACTGATCACGAGAACGTCTAGCCCTGGACATGAGAGCGTCTCGCCCTGGACATGAGAGCGTCTAGCCCTGGACATGAGAGCATCTCGCCCTGGACATGAGAGCATCTCGCCCTGGACATGAGAGCATCTCGCCCTGGACATGAGAGCGTCTCGCCCTGGACATGAGAGCGTCTCGCCCTGGACATGAGAGCGTCTCGCCCTGGACATGAGAGCATCTCGCCCTGGACATGAGAGCGTCTCGCCCTGGACATGAGAGCATCTCGCCCTGGACATGAGAGCGTCTCGCCCTGGACATGAGAGCGTCTCGCCCTGGACATGAGAGCATCTTGCCCTGGACATGAGAGCATCTCGCCCTGGACATGAGAGCGTCTCGCCCTGGACATGAGAGCGTCTCGCCCTGGACACGGAAATTGCTCGCCCTGAACACAAGAACGTCTCTCCATGGACACAAGGGCGTCTCGCCACGGGCACAACAATGTCTTGCCCCCGACACAAAAACGCAAAAAACGTCGTAAACACACCCGGGTGACCGATTGGATACCCTTCGCTCGGGTGGGGGAGGGGGTCAGTTTGACCCCCTGAGATCTCGGGAACTAAGAGAGCTAGAGACACTAAATTCACAGGGTGTACGTGAGATCACTTAGGTCAAGGTTTGAGGTTCCTAGGTCATGACCTTTGGGTCAAATAGTGCAAGCTCTAGAATAACAACACAGGCTGGTTTTCACCTTGTTCTGACCTCCATACCTGACCCTACGTCCATGCAATTTGTTCATTCAATTGTTGTGTTACCTAAGAAAGTATTTCAGAGATGTGTGGCTTTGTCCAACACTCCGCTGTTGGATCAGATTAAACGATTCCCTCGAAATTGCCTCCACTGAAACCATGTATTGACGTTGACTTGCCATAGGTCAGCGACCTTATAAGGTGCATCTAAATTTTGGATGCTCAGTTGTCTGCAGCTATCAAAATTTGGCGCGGCTACGCCGCGCTGTTCGGAAACCATTCCGAAAAACCTTTGGGACGTCATTTTGACCCTCCACTCGAGGGCGTGTTAAAGGACCGCATGAAATAAATCGCCAGCGGTCTTTTTTAAATGATCCAATCCACTCTTTCCAAACCGATAGAGCCCAGAAGCCATTTCAGAACTCTTATATGTGCTTTTCAAAGATAGTAAGGGCCCCGCGAATTTAGGTCGAAATGGGTCAGCAATCTGTGTAAAGCTGTGGCCGACGGGTGGACAAAAATGATAATGCATTTCAAAGAAATGCGCTTGAACGCATTATGGCATCAAATCATACATTCACAAGGTAGTACATTTGCCGGGCGTACATTTCAACCATGCCATTTTTAGACTGATGACCAGGACGGGATGGCCTTTATAGCATCGCAAAGTACCGCTTGAATCTGATGGTGGAACTGGAAGAGCGAAGGTAGAGTCTCTATTTCTGTGTTGCTGTAACTGTTAATCTGCCCAGAGGGCAATTTCAAAGTTGTTTGAAATATGCGCCCAGTCTCATCTTTGAATGGTACGAATTAATTTTGAAACGCATTTAGAACCAATATTTCACGACGGCTGCTCTCGTGCACACGGCACCCGCCGCCTAGTGTTGTTTGCAGGGGCCAGCGCCGTTCGGTTTTACGGAAACTGCAACCCAGGCCAGGGCTGTCCTTGCTATCGGGATCGCGGACATGCGAGCCCAAACCTTTTGATGTAATTTGCCTCACAAGTCGATTCTGCAAAATGACTGACGGTCTCAGACAAACATGGGCTGGCCTTGTTCGTGTTTTACCTCATTTAGACCCACTCAATTCAACACTAAGACCCATTATTTCTTTCCCAGAAAGGGGCACCCTTGGGTAAAACACTGGGGCACATTTTTGTCCCCGGTCAAGGACTGATGGGTCATTCCGTTCCACCGCGGGGGGTGTCTTCCGGCTGCCATTCTGGTGACACGGGCGGGATCCCCGGGCCGATCCGGAGACCCTTAGAGGGAAAACGTCATATCACATTGGTTCGCCCCCTGACGTAGAAGGCCTTCTGACCAGCGCAGTTGACCCTGGATCGACGCAGGAGCCTTCATTGACGCAACAACATCCCTGATCGCCGCAGGTGGCCTAATAATTAGCACACAGACTCCAGTTCGGCTTAGCGGGTTCGTAGTGGAATCGGATTGGAGGGCCCACCGTTCGGCCCTGGGGGCCATTGCTGGCGCTGGACCCTTCCATTGCCTTAATATGAGCAATCACCATGAGTTGTTATGTCTCCTTTCCTTTTCAGAGGGCCCCGACCAACGCAAGAGGCCCTCTGCAATTCGGGCTCCCGTTCCCGTCCTTGTCGAGCGAATCTTCCCTGACCAATGCGAGGCCCGCTGTTGACACAACATACCCTGCTAGGCACTGTGGTACACTCAACGATACGAGAGCTCCGCACTGTTGCAGGGGCCCCGACCAATGTCAAACACGAGAGCTCCGCATTGTTGCAGGGGCCCCGACCAATGTCAATCACGAGAGCTCCGCATTGTTGCAGGGGCCCCGACCAATGTCAATCACGAGAGCTCCGCATTGTTGCAGGGGCCCCGACCAATGTCAATCACGAGAGCTCCGCATTGTTGCAGGGGCCCCGACCAATGTCAATCACGAGAGCTCCGCATTGTTGCAGGGGCTCCGACCAATGTTAATCACGGCCGGGCCGTGTCCCTGCTTGGGAAGTGGGTCCCCAGGGCTCAGACCGACACGGAGCCGACTGTTCGGTGTTGATGATCTCTGGCCGAAACGGAGGAACGCTCTGTCTCAGGGGTCCCCAGTCGGTGTAAGAGGCTCTTTGACGTTTGGGATCACGGCGCTAATCCTTAATGTGACCTACGACCAGCCCCTTGCGCCCTTCAGAGCCTTCCAGTGATCTTTTGTCTCAAAAGACCCATCTGCCCATCTTCAGTCCGGCTCGAACACCGCTCCTGGCCGACTCGGGGTCATTTGCCGCCACATGGCGCCTGTTAGGCACTGTGTCCTCTGACCAAAATAAGAGACACTAATTGTATCAGTGACCCGAACATTGTGAATCGTGGGCCCCGGCCTCGTTCCCGCGTGCATGTGCGTGTACGTGTGTGTGTGTGTGTGTGTGTGTGTGTGTGTGTGTGTGTGTGTGTGTGTGTGTGTGTGTGTGTGTGTGTGTGTGTGTGTATGTGTGTGTGTGTGTGTGTGTGTGTGTGTGTGTGTGTGTGTGTGTGTGTGTGTGTGTGTGTGTGTGTGTGTGTGTGTGTGTGTGTGTGTGTGTGTGTGTGTGTGTGTGTGTGTGTGTGTGTGTGCGTGTGTGTGTGTGCGTGTTATATTTAATTAATATTTACTTTATCATTACGCCCATCTCCGAGCAGCTCCTGATGCCTGCCCCATGTTTCGCAAGCCTATCCCGAGTGCCCAAAAGCCATCTAGACTCGCCCTGACCTGCTAGAAGTTCCGAAGACCGGCAATACCCGCCAGACCAACCAAAAGCTCACTCTGACCTTCCAAAAGCTCTCGGAGGTGGAGTCGGCGTAGAAGTTAGGCCAGAGTTGCAGCAGTGACGGCAGGATCGGCTGCAGTTGCGTCATGTTCAGGCCGGCGCCCGAACAGTACGCCGGATCCTTGCCCGCGTAGTTATCCGGCCTGACCAGGTCACATGGGGTCACCGGAGGTCGTCGGAGGGTCAAGACGTGCGCACAGGTGACCGGCCGCTTGGATCAGTGTGCAGCCTGCAGCGTGCTGAGGCTGCAGTACGGTCATAAGCGATCACATTGAACCGTCAACTGCCCTGCAAACGGAGCACCACGTGGCCCGTTGACCTTATTGTGGTGATGACATCTCGACCTCAATAAATTGACCGATTAAAGGGAATAACGCGGCCCTTGCTGCATCGCAGCCAGCATGCAGAGACTGCGCTTAAAAGCAACCTAAGGCCGAGTACGGGGAATGATGTCAATGTTTTAGCTGATGAGTCATATGTGCTCTGCGAACCGGCACACAGCATAAGCTGCCACAGCTCTAGAGGCTGGCTTACCGGCGTGCCCATCTGTTCACTTTGACGGTGGCTCTGTCCCTTCCTTACGTTGCTTTGGGCCCCAAGGTGGGTTTGAGCCCCCAGTTGGGGAGGCTATATTGTCGGGAATTCGGCTAGGCCCCTCCCCCAAACCGATTGCGCAGATTGTCCTCCGTGATGACATCACTCACCAGAGGCCGTGTACGGTGAAGGCGGACACGTTAGCGGGGATGTTACATGGGCCGTGGTACATCTCGCACACCGTCTGGGGCCACCTGGTGGCCAGCACGTAATGGTCGGCAGAGACGTCGGCTGAGACACTGAAACAGAGCGGGCGTACTGAAACGGAGCGGCTAACGACTGAAACCAAGAGGAAGGCGGGAGACGAGGAGACGGAGGAGACGCGTCTCGGCGAGGCCCACCGGTCTATATTCGCCCGCCAGCTGAAGTCAAAGCCGTACCATGGCCCTCTCACGCGGTCATGCAGTCGATTGTCGTCATGGTAACCAAATCCTCGCTCTTACCACACGGGAGTTGCCATGGAAATCCGGCATTCCACTCACCAAGCCGGCTGCAGCTGCCAGCGAGCCAGCTGCAGGTCAAGGTCGTCATGGAGGTCAAGCGCCACCTTTTTTGGTCACTCCAAAAGAAAAAAGACCACGCGGGTTCGTTAAAGGGAGCGCTGCACATTTAGGTAGTGTCTTGAACTGAAGCAGCCATTTTGAAGACCGTTCGGTGCGGTGCACAGCCCTACCTATATTTAGTCCTAAGCCCTCTAGTTTCCGAGGTACACGCCCAGAAAGATGTGCAGGCTATTCCGCGCAGGCTATTCCATGGCATTTCATATTTCATTCAGCCGTGCATGGCGCGCGGTGACGTCATTCAAGTCCTGCCACCTCAATGACCATGCGGCATTCAAGGCTAAGAAGAGTGCTATCGTCGAACCGTGCATGTCTGGCCTTCGTGAGCACGATTTCTCGACGTAATGGACGTCCGCTGGTTCTCAATCGTTGTTGAGCTAGCTGTGCAAGATTCAGGCACGAATCACCTTTTGTGCTACATAACGTAAGAAGCTGGACATGGTTGCCACTTACTACGGGAACAAGAACACCCTAAAGCCACGGATAAATGTACAGGAAAGTCACGAGAAGGGCCCAAAACACGAAAGCATTAAGATAATTGGTTCAACAAACACCTTCAGCACCGCCGCGGCCATCTCTCGGGAGACTGGGGTACTACGAGGGGGTGCTGGGGTGACAGTTCCGCACGGCTAGTTTGGCAGCACCTCAACGTCATATAAAATCCATAACGCAACTAATGACGCGGAGAGAAGCATATTTGCTAGATGGAGAAATTTGGTTGTCTAGAATAGGGTCATTTCGCGAGAAGTCGACAGAGGCATAACACCCGACATCCTACATTTTGATGAAAATTCTTCCAGGGGTTGTCTTATGCCCTGAACCCGAACGTGCAATTTTGAGAATCATCAGAGAAATGGTCGAAAACACCATAGCCTCGAGCATTCTTAAGAGGTTAGGTAACACACACACAAAACGGTCCATGGTCCAATTAATGGTTACTGAAATTTTACAAAACTATATACCGCTGAACTTGCAAAAAGACAGTGCATCTTTTGGCTATTTCCGAATCTTCCTTCACTTAGCTTTCAAAACTATGACAGCGTGACCAAAAATCACGTGATCCATTTTGACCTTTCGACATACACAATGATGTTTTGTTTTATACAGACATTAGGAACAATGGCTTTTTACCACAAGAAGAAATACTACACGCTTTTACCAATAGCTTTCTACCACATGCGTTTTTCTTCAAAAGCGCCCCACATTCGCTCCCATCTGGCCATGCGTGGATGTTGCTGCGATAGGTATAGGCGTACTCAGTAATTATATGTGTAAGGGATGGGATATTACTGAAGCAAAAACCATCGACGTCAAGCATATAATTGCGTATTTATAAGGACGCATCATTTATTATTTTTGACGTATTTTGACGTATTTTTGTGATGCAAGTGTACCAAGGTGTCGAGATACGGGGGATGGGGGTACCCCATGCCTCCTATCTCGCCATCGGGTTACCCGGCCCATCTCGTCATCGGGTTACCTATCGGGTTTTCCAGCTCCCGGCAAGGTTGAGGATAAATATCGTTGCCGTAAGATAGAAAAAGATGCTTTCCATGCCTAACATTGCACAGGCACTGTAACATCTTAAAAATAAGTAATTCACGTGCCTTATCTCCGCAGTGGTACGGTCGTGTGACAGTGGCAGTGCCGCAGAGTTGCGGAGCGCTTTTGGAGGGATTCATCTTTTGGTGAATTGGAAGGAGAGCGTATGTCAGCATTTTCCCAACCACAAACGGATGGTCGATGAGCTTTTTTGCAGCCCGATTCTCACGCCGCGAAATAAGAATAGGAATAGGAAGGCAGGGGGTTTTCATCTCACCTGACCGGGCACTAACAATAGATGGCCCAGGGCCCTAGAACAGAGGATGGCCCCGTGCGGCGGAGGCTCAGCGTTCACTCTCACTGGCCGTGCTGCTGCGGCAGCTGTGACTGGCAGGCCTTGGTCAGCCGATATTGGATTGGTGTGAGCGGTACGATGGTGCATCGAGTGTCTTGTGATCCCTCCCAACGACACAAGAAGCCATTGATACAAACGCAAGCACGTTTTCAGATCTGCTGGTCAAAAACGTGAATGATGCCTGACATTGCTGCCGGGATCAATCTGGGTGTAAGCTGCCGGATCAAATTATTGAGGGATTCGCACAGCCTGCTTGCACGGGGTTCGCGGTCGAGCTCCGAAGCAGAATCCAGCAGCCAAAATAAAAGTGCAGAAGTCAGATCACTTTTGTCCTGTGCTTCCGTCCTGTGGTATGCCGATGTTCGACGTCTCGCTTTTAACCACAGCCAAGCTAATGCTATGCATTGCTACAGTTGTTGCTGTGCCGTGCATAATTTATTACTAAAGAAGTGTCCACGGACTTGGTGAATAATTACACTTGTCATATTTGCACGCAGTAATGCTATCAGCAATTCACGTCGCTTGATATAAGATGTTATCAGTATAAAGTGACGGCTGGTTTTGCCATTAAAGCAGCGTGAAGACGGTATTTGGATATGCTCAGCAGAGTGCAGCCCAGTATCTTATTAGATAAAATTATGTTTAACGTAGGAAGGTCATTTGCTCGTATACACGTTGTACGTTCATACTCAAACCCGTGCGTTTAGCTTGTGCCTTGGGCTTTTCAAAACAGTTGTCACCATTGTGCGTGAGTGCTGTGTTGAAATGCCTATGCCTATATGGTCAGAACACTGATGGACCAGTACCTGCCTTCGTTCATCTTCTACGCTCAGAAGGCCTTACCGAAGCACAGAGGCGATTACAGTGAGCCAAAAAGCTCAAAAAGACATCGAGATCCCTAAATCGCAGGTCGAAAACCTCGCTAAACGTACAGATAGCACCACCAGGAGACGAGCCAGCGGAGGCAAAGAATGGCTGAAGATAGCTACTTAGCGAGGTAAAAGCTGTTCCGGATACGTCCATAAGTGACCCACTTTTCTTCGGTTTAAGTCTAATTCCTGTGACTCAATGCTGCTTTTCATAGCGAGTGTGGGATCATCGGTTGAGCTATGGACTAATGATTTAATGTTTGCTGCGTTTCAGATGCGATCAGATCAAGGAGGACCTGAACGCCGAGGTTCACAGCCGCACCGACTACAGAGACGGCTCTCCATCCTTACTCTTTCGCCTTTGTCACTCGACCGGACACCCGGATCTTTTTAAACAACCATGTCCATGATCAGGAAGAGCCAACTAAAACCATTACATAGTCTCTTGGTCCCTAAAGCGAGGAAAGACCTGAGCATTCCGAACGCAGACAAGAAGGACGAGCTGTTTTACGAGTGGGACCACGTCAGCCGGGTGTGTCTGGGCAAGGACGATTGTGTCACGGTCCTATAGCTGATGGAGCCAAAAGTAGATTGCAAAAAGGATTTGCCTTGCGGTACTAGCGTGAAGTGTGTGACATTTACAAGCGGGAGCAAAATACCCTCCTATCGGTTTTCAACATTTGCTGCACTTCGTCCAAAGCACCGCGTCTTGGCAGGCCGCAGTGATGCGCATTCGTTACGCACGTGCACATATCACTAAAATAAAAAACTGCTTTTATCCGCTTTCGGCCCTCCTAAAATCTGACACACCGTGTCCTCATTGGTCACGTGCACCCGTGACATAGTTCGCGTGACCTTGGTGAGGAAGGAGTAATGGACTTTTTATGCTGTATTCTCTCGAAAAGTCACCTCTCGGACAAGCCAGATAATAGCGACGAGGGTGGTACGACTCTTGATGATGCTATGGATGGTGAGTGTGGTGTTCGTGCTCGGGTTTAGTGACGTCACGTGTGGGCAGGCCATCCTGTCGTCCGATATGCAGATTTCGGCAACCTTGTCTGTGAGTAGTGGATGCGCCAAGTTGGCGCGGTGTGCACGTGTGCGGAGCGGGATACATCGGTTGATTGGTTCGATCGTGTGTGCCAACGAACCAAGGACTTGACGGTGAGATTTGATATGAACGGTGGGTGAGCGCGAATCGCCGCGCACTAGCGGAAATCATCGGGGCAAAGGAAGGTAGCACACCAGCAAATTAGTCAGCAAATCGCAAAGCTGATCAGACACCATTTTGCAGTTGATAGGCAATGTCAGTGCTTTGCCCACGTAAGGACTACTGCCAATGAGGGCAAAGTGGTTGTCCAGGTTGACTTTTCTAAAAATTACTCATTGATAGCGGAAGGCGCGGCCCAAGGCTCCCGCTCGGACACCTCTCAGCGTGCTGTGTATCCGTTCGTAGTGTGATGTGTCATTAGAGCTACTCTCTTTTGGTGGTACTTTTTTGGCACTTTATTGGAATTGGTAAATATTTATTTAATTTATGATGGTACAAAGCATAGCACCGCCATGGTTTATGCGTTTTAGTGACGGCCTGTCCCAGACATTCGTGCCAATGTGCCCGGTCTATAGAAAAATATTCATTTCACAGACGGTATTGCCGCTCAGTGCGAGGTCAGCACAACTTCGTCAACGTACGCCCCCCCCCCCCCCATGAGGCTGACGTCGGGGTGCCCTGTGAGTAGCATTTTTGCCATGTCACATGGTAAGAGTGTCTGTGACGCCATGTCACATGGTAGGGGTGTCTGTGATGCCATGTCACATGGTAAGGGTGTCTGTGACGCCATGTCACATGGTAAGGGTACATGTGACGCCATGTCACATCGTAAGGGTGTATATGATGTCATGTTACATGGTAAGGGTGCCTGTGACGCCATGTCACATGGTAAGGGTACCTGTGGCGGCATCGGGGCACGACTAAGCGCCCACAGCACAAGAGAGCCTCAGGCGTACCCATAGTGGGAAAATGCTGACGGCGGAGGACATGTTTAAATTTCTGCCGGAGAAACTGGTCAGCAAGACCATACTCATCAATGTGTCCGGGCAGGAGGTGACGAGCGTCGCGAACCACCCCACCGAGCGCTGTACAAGTCATCGCGGTGAAGGACACTGAGGGCTCTCACAACATCTCACCAGCGACACCGACGATTCTCAGGGCTCTCACAACATCTCACCAGCGACACCGACGATTATCAGGGCTCGCCATCTGCCCGCCGGCGTGGACGTGTGGGAACAGTAGGGCGGTGATATGTGACTGTGAGCGCGCCAGCGCCAGATGCGCGGGCGGAAGTGTCAGCGTCTCGCACGGGTTGGCTGGCAGATGAGCGGACCTTGCTGCATTGACTCGCTGTGTTGTATGGTACCAGGTCAGGTCAGGTCATCGTGCCACGCCGTTGCAAATGGCTCATGGTGACATGTGATTCGCTGCATGTGCAGCGTACGCGCCAATTCATGCGGTCGTATATGTTGAATGACGGATATGAATATGTAAATACATTTCGTAATGAAAGCCATTTCATATATTTCTCCTCATGACACTTTCAGTGCTCAGTTAAAGCCGTCAGCTGTGCAAAATATTACACACATACGTACACACCAGCACATACACACACGAACATATGCTTATATGTACATATACACACATACATACACACACACATACACACACATGCATATATATATATATATATATATATATATATATATATATATATATATGCATACACACACATATATATATATATATATATATATATATATATATATATATATATATATATATATATATATATATATATATGTATATATATACTGTGTGTGTGTATGTGTGTTTGTGTGTGTGAGTGTGCGTGTGTATATGTTTGTGTTGTATAGCTTGTACAGATAAATCCATGAATTTATAAATTTCAACATACTATATGGTATTCAAGCCCGTAATTCGTGTCACTTGCCAGATCCGGATGAAATGGGCCAGACATGCCCTGCTCGTTACAGAAATTATCACAAAAACACGCATTTTTTAAAAACTTGGTTTTGGTAAACAAGGCATTGCTGTAAATTTCTGCGTTTCGAAAAATAGCACTGTGAATGTCCAAACTTTAAAAAAATCGTCACGTGACTTTAGGTCACGAGGCCAAGGATTTTAAATTCCAGTAAACACAAATTTGCAAATGGCCAAAAGATGCATTAGACTACTGTGAGCCCAGCGGCTTATAGCTCTGCATAACTGAGGTAGATCTGCTTAAATGATGTACTGTTAGCCAGTCATACTGGGTAACTCCCTACAAATGCCCGACGCCATAACTGCTCAGCCGCTGCTCTGGCCTTCTGAAAACGGCACAGCTGAATTGGGGCTTAAGACAATCCCATGGTGATATCTTCAGCTAAATTGGAAAATTATGGGGTGTTTTGTTTTGGCCCCTTCACCTATCGATTTGTTGTGGAATGGGCCGACAATTTTTTCCACTTGAAAAGTATACCAACAGCCACGAGTGAGCTCATTGCATCATGTCTGAGGCCTACTTCAATATCTTCACATGCGCAACATTTCCTTTAAGCCGTCTGCGGTTGTCTTCGTGGCCCTCCCACTCAACACAGCCGGGTCGTCTCCATGGTTACCGGGCTGGTACAACTCACCAGGCCCCCACCAGGAGCAGCAGCAGCAGGAAGAGCATGTTGGCGGTCGGACGACGGCAGAGAGATGGCCGGCCGGCCGGCTGCCCGTCATCCATCGCACCTTCCGTCGTCTATCTGACCCAGTTCGGAGGGAGGGGGGCATCTGGCGATGTTCCCAGCGCACTGGTGCCTGGTGTGACCCGGAGCCAGGTGGCGGAGAGTCGTGCGGCTCCTGGCACCTGTCCGGGCCGCCTTACGTAAGGCCGCCCACAGCTGCGGCGTGCGGAGGGACGGAGCTCCCTGTCATCAGCATGCGGAGGGACTGAGCTCTGTGTCATCAGCGTGCTGAGGGACAGAGCTCCGTGCCGTCAGCGTGCAGAGGGACAGCTCCGTGCCATCACCGTGCGGATGAACGGAGCTCTGTGTCATCAGCGTGCTGAGGGACGGGGCTCCGTGCCATCAGCGTGAGGATGAACGGAGCTCCGTGCTGTCGACGTGCGGAGGGACGGAGCTCCGTGTCATCAGCGCGCGGAGGGACTGAGCTCCGTGCAGTCAACGTGCGGAGGGGCAAAGCTCCGTACCGTCAGCGTGCGGAGGGACAGAGCTCCGCGCCATCAGCGTGCGGAGGGACAGAGCTCCGTGTCGTCAGCGTCTCGCGCAGCTGCCGCAGGCTCGGCGCGTGGTGCTGGCGCCAGCAAACACCTGCATTGCAGATTTCGAGGCATTCCACTGAACCGGCGCAGACGTGTGGCATCCAGCGGAGAGCTTTGCTGATGTTGGTAAACTGTAGTGACAGTGGTACGGGCACTTGAACAACGCAGCAGCCTCCGCCGCGCGCTAAGCAGAGCATCGACTCTTTTGGCTGCGGCCGGTGGTGAGAAACCGCCCACAGCCGGCGGTGAAGCCCGCTCGAATGCAAGTCCGCGTGCTACGGCGCGCGCGTTACAGACCTCTCAAAATGAGACGAAATCATCCACTTTTCGAGATGAGGTGTACTTTAACCCTTCTGTTTGGTGTGCTAAGTATAATGCATTAATTTTCACAATCAATTTCCAATTCAAAAGTTTCCAAACGATTCAAAGATTCAAAAGATTCAAAAGAGAGATTCAAAAGATTCAAGTTTCCAACAAACTTTGGAAGTCGGTTAAATCCACCGCCGATGAAGCTGACCTTCCCCATGCTGCAGCTTCGTGTTTGAAGTAGAACGTTTATATCACATGATCCTACCTCGTTTGTCGGCCAGCGAAGCACCGAAGGTCCAAACGCAGGCCGCATCGTTAACACCCGTTTAGCGCTTTTATCGGCGCCGGACCAGCCGTCAAACGGAGAGCGGGAAGTTGCTGGGCCCCCTCGAGTCCCCGGGTGGAACAGTACAGCTTCTGGGCGTTTGGTGTCACTCCATATTGCTGTTGGCTCGAACAGGATGAATGCATTGCATGGGCTTGGCACATTTAAATGCAAGGAACTTAATAAGTGTTGGCTCACTTACAGTGCCCGCCACAGAGTTTCTCAGCACGGCAGCCTGCAGCTGAGCCAGTTTGGGTCGGCTGAGGAAGGCAGCCTTGGTCGACAGCCACTCAGCAGGCCTCCTCCACCGCGGCCGAACGCCAGGCAACACACCATGATCTCTGGCGCCCGTTGCTGGCGTCAGGTCAGGTCGAGTGTTCGCGAGCGCCAACAGCGCGCACCATGCCGCGGGCTCTTCCCTTCAGCGTTGAGTGAAACACCCACGCTTCACGCATCATATTTATTTCACGCGGCCACTGGCGGTCGCGCCAAGACCAACACGAATCGCGCGTTAAAACAAAGCTGGCCTGCGGAGCTGCCAGGAGCGCCGCTAGCGCCGCCTCGCGGTGGTTTCTCGCTGCCGCCGCGGCGTCGCCGTAACGAGCCCGACCGCGACGGCCACACGACCCGACTCCGTGGCGCGGCCGCGGGAGGCGGGCCACCCGTGACGTTACGTCACGATCGCCGATGACGTCACTGACGCCGCTTCAGTCTATTGCACAGCGGCAGCGACGGCGAGCCTGCGGCGGCGCCGCCCGGCGTCATCGTCACCGCGCGAAGCTCTTCCCTCAACAGTCGACGCGCACGCACACCCCTCCGGCGCCAAACCGCGCCCGGCCGACTGGCGCTGGAGCGCGAGACCCAGCGCGTGCCGCAATAGGGCGACCCTGTTTCAGTGGAATGTGTCGTTGGCCCCGGGCCGAGGCAAAACCCGCGGCGTTCCTCCTCCGAGTGCAAGCAACCAAAGAGCGCCGGTCGGGGCAATTTAAGCCGGGGGCGAGGGGCGGGTTAACACACACGGCGGAAAGCTCACGTCACGGAATGCTGACATCGAAAGAGCGCGACAAATTTGGAATGCAGTGTGAGGCCGTCTCGCCTGCAAGCGCCAACCGACAGTACGCACACTCGCACATACACGCACAGGGGCGTGGCATCGCAAACACGGCGGGAACGCATCGCCGCCGCGGCATCACATTGTCTTCATCTTTGGCGTGTTCGCTGCCGCTCCCGGACGCGCAGCTGCCGCCCGGCGTGACCCGCGGCGGCCCGGGGCCAGGGCTCAGCCCTCCGGCGCTGCCCAGGGTCAGCTGCCCGCGCGGCTCCGGTCCTACCGCTCATTTACCTGCGGAGACGCTGCAACACAGGCGGCGAGCGCGGTCAGTCAAGTGGCGAGCGACTGGCGGACTTCTGCGGCCTGGCGTGGTGCAGTCATCTCAAGAACTTTATCTAAAACTATCCACGTGCGTAGTAATAAACGGTACCGACCTCCTCCTACGTGCCACGGTACCAGCTGACAGAACAATTCAGATTCTCAAGGTCTCGCCTTAAGCATTGTTTCCCTGAGAACCCCTTCTCTTTTACGTTCAACACGAGAGGACATATGTGCCATTTTCTAAGAGTCCAGGGAGCCCAGGTACGGTCGTGTGGGGCGGCGCGACACGTCAATCACTCGCACGCCGGCCCCGCCTTGCCCGAGACCCCCCCTCCCACACGCACACACACACACACACGCACGGACGCTGCGTCACGCCGCCACCGGCGCGCGCGCAGACTGCGCTGTGGCATCGGCCGGAGCAGGCGGCGACGAGCAGCCAGCCCCCCCCCCCCCCCCCCCAAACACACACAGGCAAGACAGGGACGCGTGCAGCGGCGGCGGCGGCGTCCGACGGACGACCCCTCCACTCCCTTCTCCCATCATCACCCGGTGATCCAGTGATCTCGGGCTACGCCTGTGGCGTTCAAGAGAGCGCGCCCGGGGGGAGGGGGGAGGGGCCCTATCTCTTCCTTCCTGTTCTCCCCGACCCCGGGACTCCCAGAGAGAGCGCACCCGGGGGGGGGGGGGGGGGGGGGCGCTCTATCTCTTCCTTCCCGTTCTCCCCCGACCCCAGGAATCCCAGACCGTCAACCGCTGACGCCGCCTCCGGCTATGCGGCAAAGGTGCCTTTTCGGGTCATCGCCGTCACGGAGGTTTGTAAGGCTGCTTTGCGAGAGCACCTGAGCCCGTCGCTGTAGCGCATCAAGTTAGAACATTTGCAATAGATGGCTTGTTTTCCTTCTTCGACTGTTCCAACCATTTCGCCTACAGCATTTTGCAATTTCAAAAGTAAGGTAAAACAACAGTACACCGAACCAAAGAAAGCTTACACTCCCCCTTTGCTCACGCAACAAACAAAATAAACACGAGCTGTCCTGAAGACATGCTTTACAGGACAGCAGAGCAACTGCCAGCCACACACCGTCGAGTGTTGGCAGGGTGACTCTCCAGGCCTTCCCAGCACAACAAACCGCAGACCCGAAACAATGACAGGCCAGCACGGAAACCAAACAAGAGCATCCCACGTACCCAATGGCATTGCAGCATAAATCACTGCAGCCAATGAGTGCATAGCAAGACTCTCCAAAGCCCCTGTGCTCCACGCAAACGCCGAGCTAAAGCAAGCTCGCCCGATAGCCAATGGCTGCACGGCAAAGCCACTCAGCCACCAACGGCGGCACAGCAATGTCTTCTGCCAGCCAATGGCAAGGCGACACACCCCAAAGCCTATCAGAGCGCTGCAGGCCTCAGTCGTCTGCAGCCCAGGAGAGCAGCCAGAGGGGGAGGGGCGGGGGGGGGGGGGGTCCGATCCTGCAGGCATGACGTCACTGGGACCGGTTCGGACGGGGCGGGGCGGGAGCTGGGCGGAGCAGAGCCGGACCAATCACTGCAGGGACGGAGCGGCAGCAAACTACCCCAGTGCCCGGCTAGGGTGCATCTGGCGCGCCAGGAGACCGGGTGGTGCAGAAGAGCAGTCGGTGCCAATAAACGCACCGGAGGACGAGTCAGCCAGTGAGTAGTGGAGTCAGAGGTGGGGCAGTCACACAGAGCTGAGCCGAACACCGAGGGAGGAGTTAGCCGGTGAGTAGTGGAGTTACAGGTGATGCAGTCACCCAGAGCTGAGTCAAATGCCGGGGAGGAGTCCGTCGGTGAGTAGTAGAGTCAGGGGTGAGGCAATCACACAGAGCTGAGTCAAACATCGGGAGCAGGAGTCAGTCGGTAATGAGTGAAGTCAGAGGTCCGGTGGTGAGTAGAGTCAGAGGTGAGTCACACAGAGCAAAGTCAAACAGGCCACGGAGCCAGAACCGAGAAGGGACAGTGGGTCGGATCCGGTGATGACTCATCAGCGATCAGCGGGTAGCACATCGACGGGAGAGAAAAGTCAGAGACGGGGTGGCGGGGGGGGGGGGGGGCGATCTCGGCGAGAGCGGGCCGGCCGGAGAGGGGAGAGGGGGGGGGGAGGAGCCGGCCGTACCTCGGCCGGCCCCAGCTGGGGGTACACCAGCAGCGCTACAGACAGGAGCAGAGGGGCGGCCAGCAGCAGTGAGCCCAGACACACGTCAGCGACGCCTACCTGGCCGATCCGGAAGCTGCGCCGCCGCCGCCGCCGGCACACAAACACATGGTCAGCCCCGCGGCACGCGGTCACAGGCACACGTCCGCCAGCGGCACGCGGTCACAGGCACACGCCCGCTCAGGCACGGGCACACGCGTGGTTTGGCAAAAGCACTGGGTTACGGGCGCAGTTCTACTTGAAAAAATTTGGTCAAGAGCGTAATGTTGCCTGATCAGCCAGGTCGTCAAGGACGTTTAGCAAAGCAAGCTGGCGGGGTGAAGAGGGAAAATGGCAACATCTACCCCAAAATACCAGAAACACGTTTTCTCCAACTTTGGTCCACTGTTTTCCTCAAAGTCGGGGGGCAGGCTGAAGGGGTGCACCCCTATCCCCCCAATGGACAGGAATATACACCCCCGAGACCGACCTAACGTAACCGCGGTCTCACCAGCCCCCGGGACCGACCTAACCTAACCGCGGTCTCACCAGCCCCCGAGACCGGCCTAACCTAACCGCGGTCTCACCAGCCCCCGAGACCGACCTAACCAAACTGCGGTCTCACCAGCCCCCGAGGCCGACCTAACCTAACCGCGGTCTCACCGGCCCCCGAGACCGACCTAACCTAACCGCGGTCTCACCGGCCCCCGAGACCGACCTAACCTAACCGCGGTCTCACCGGCCCCCGAGACCCACCTAACCTAACCGCGGTCTCACCGGCCCCCGAGACCGACCTAACCTAACCGCGGTCTCACCGGCCCCCTCCCCTGCCCGGGTCACCCCGACCGGTGGAGTGCCAGCCGCGCGAGATCACGCCCAGACTGTGTCACTCCCAGTCGGTGTGTCAGTCCGGCGCCGCGACAGCGAGGTCAGGCCCGGACTGTGTCACTCCCAGTCGGTGTGTCTGTCTGGCGCCGCAGCCGGACTGAGTGTGTCACCCCGACCGGTGGAACGCCAGCCGCGCGAGGTCAGGCCCGGACTGTGTCAGTCCGGCGCCGCGGCCCGACTGAGGCGAAGAAAACATGGCGAGAGGAGGCGCGGGCCGCGGCCCAACCCGTGCGCGTAACTACCGTACAACGCCTGTGGGCCGTCTCACCCCCAATCTTTCAGTACATTTATTTCTGGCCGTAAAGCTTCGAACAGGCTCTTTCCTGAACCATACAGGACAAAGCCTTCTGATTCACCCCAAATACGAGCTGGTCGTCTGGCGGGCCGAAAGACGCTTAAATCACAAATAATTAACACCATTAGTACGGCAACACCCATGTTTACTTGCTAGCATACTTATGCAAATCGGAAGAGGGGCATCAGCTGTACAGTGGCATAGACTCGCAGGCAAACTGGACAACCTAAGGTGAACCGGGTGAGTTAAGGGCGACCCAACCCGACGGCTCTGTTTTGTTAAACGCACGAGTTCACCAATCGAAATCAACGCTTCATTGGCTCGCATCGTAGACGTTACCGTAAAAGGGAGTGTTCCATATTCATGTGGGTGTTTGAACTGAAATAGCCATATTAAGGACCGTTGGTGAACAGCCTGCCCTCCCTAAGACTTAAAGCCCTCCAGTTTCTGAGCTATACGCCGGCAAAAATGTAGGGTATTTTAGGCTGAGAGCTTCAATGCCACCTAAGCATACATGACATCCTAATAACGTCATTCAAATCCTGTCATTCCATAAGCCACGCGGCAGTCCAGGCCGAGAAAAATATACTGGTCCAGTCATTCATATCTAGCGTTCGTGAGCACGATTTCGAGATGTAACGACCGTCAATTAGCTCTCAATCAATGTTTTGCTGGGTACGATGAGGTACTCAAACAATAACGTATCAAGGAGCATAGTTACTAAACAGGGAAATTGTGGTGTCTGGAGCAGTCTTTTCTACTTAAAAATATACCAAAGCTATAAATGGGTTTGTTTCATCATATCCCGAGCTTTAATATCTTCGAATGTGAAACATTCTGTTTAAGCCATGACTCGCCCACTTATACATGTGAGCTCAGATTAATGCGTTGCACAATACCCTTGTTCGCCGACTGCGCACCCCGGGCGTACCCGATTCCAGTCTAGTGTTATTAGATATATGTACCTAAATGACCCTTTTTTTGTGACGCTCCATCCTGCCGGCGCACATCTCAGTTGCCACCGCAAGCGGCGGCACACTGACACCCAGCCAGCAGCCGGGTGTCGGCGCAGGGTCCGGCACGGCCAGCGCGGCGGCGCCCCGGCACCCATCCAGCAGCCGGGTGTCGGCGCAGGGTCCGGTACGGTCAGTACGGTTCACAGCCAGGCTGCTGCCGCTCTGGGCCACAGTGCCGGCACTCCTGCCCGCCAGTGCTACCGACCACGCGTGTCTAGTACCACTAGCTCGACAGCTGCTACACAGAGTGCAAAGAGGAGCAATGAGCGACGCAATTGAACCAAACACAAATGTATGGCGTCCTGGGTATGGTTTAATGCTAACATCAACGACACAAATGCAAATGAAACGTTGATTTGGGTTGACGAACTCGTGCGTTTCACAAAAGAGAACCGCCACAAAAAAGCAGGCCATGGCGTTGTGCAACGGCAAAATCGGTGGGAGTCGACAACGGAACAAACGGCATTCATATACTGATGCTGGATGTTCAGAACTCATTAGCCATGTTAGGTGTTCTGCCTGTGTAGCTGCGCAATAAGGCCCTTTCGGGCTATGCACGGACTCGAGCCATGCAGCGATTGTGTTCCATTTCGTTCTGAGATAATTCGATTCATTGCAATTTTTAAGGAATGAGACTGACTGAAAGGCGTGTCCGACAAATTTAGAGAACGACAATTCAGACCAATGAACCTAAAGGAATGTGATGGAAGATTCCCACGCAACGACCTGACGATCCTGTGGCTAAGACACCGATCATAATTACTCGGAGCAACTGCCAATTCATTTGGAAGGAAGGCCTGGCAAAATATCGCACCGGATCGCGCTGTAATTCCAAGCCATGGCAGAGTGGCATGGGAAGCACTGCAGACGCTGCGTGATCGCAGCATACGCCGAATGTTCTAAACGATGTTTTTGCACAACATGGTGTCGCAGAGTGAGTAACGCTCCGCGTGCCGCAGTATGTGCCTGCCGCATACTAAGGGGAGGCCTGGGCCTCCGACAGAAAATACGAAAATGGGCGTGATGCAGGGGTGTGGTTTCCGTTTCAGTTGGGGGCTTCAGCATCTCCAAAATGATTCAAACCTCCAACTTAGGAGAGGTGGGACAAATCCCATGGAAAACCCACTTGCTGGCGCAGTTTGCGGGTCGACTGAGTCAGTTTCCAGTTTTTAAGCCCTCCCCAAGCTCATTTTGCGGAGCGACGCCCATTACGTGAATGCACTTGGTGAATGCACCACAACGCACACGTGAATGCACCGCGCCCTGGACCCCCTTCCTGAAGAAAATCCCGGGTGCGTTCCTGTTCGAGAGGCATGCAAAATGCTGCACACAAAAACCAGATACAATGAAAGGCGAAAGGCGAGGGCGAGGGGCCGGAGGGACCGGCACCGTCATAGGAAGTGTTGCTGTTGCTTCAGGACGGACGCAGGGCTGCAGGCAAATCATGTGATGGTATGTTTAATGTGAGGTTGGATGAGTGAAACAGATAAAGAGATGAATTAAACTGAGTGCCATGAATCCATAATGTATTCATAGCACACAGCTTTAACGTATTTGCGAATAACCCGTCGGGCAAGTATTGCGCAATGACAGTCAAACCACAACCTCACCCCGACGCAGCCGTGCCTGCGTTTTCGTGGTTTTCCTTCCGAACGTTGGACCGTCCGTGACTCGCCCGCCCCCTTAGCCTGTCCGTCTGCCTGCGAGTCTGTGTCATTTTACAGCTGATGCTCCTCCTTCAATTGCACACGTCTGCCAGTAACTTAACATGGATGCCGCCGAACTAGTGGCATTGCATATATGTGCCACGGACTGCACGATACTGTCCAGTGAGCCCAGAAAAAAACCGGATATCGCCTGGCTATGGAGACCATAACTAGTGATCATAATACACTTATTTGTAAGCTCAGTAAAATCCAATACAATCGTGCTATCACAAACTGAATTATATCTCCGTTTTCCCTGCCTTGAATGATTAATAAGCGAAGTGCATATCATGAAAGCCGTGCTTTCCATTCCATCCCTGATGGTTGTGACACGGGGCGCCGGTCGGTAATGGGGACACGGAACATTAGACCACAGCCAGGCCACGCCGACGCGCGTCCGCATCAATGGTGTGACGTCATACACCCGGCATGTCCCCCGACAGGAGACACGTGACAACCGACGGCATCGGCCGCCCACGCGTCACAGCAGACTCACGTGATCACGTGCGGGTCCTCCGTCACCACCTGCCGACAAACGGACCGCTGTGAGCGCAGCCGCGTCACCTGCCGACCGTGACGTCACACCCCGCCGTCACGTGACCCGGAGTGCGACGTCATTGTCGGATGACGGCCCGAGCGAGGCAGCCGCGTTTGCAGGAGGCGGCAACAGCACAGACCGACGTGCGACGCGACGGCTGAACGCCTTACACTCCACACGCAGTTCGTGCAACAAAGCAGCGTCTGGACAAAAATCGGCTGTCCGTGTGAGATTTAATCCTCGATCTGCCAACGTCGAGAAATAATGCTGTTCTACTATTTCTATCATTAGAATGCCTTTACTGATGGCTGATTTGATGTTCGACCTCCGACATTGCATCATTAAGTGGTGAAGAGCAGTGTGGTACAAGATGTCTGCAGAACACAGGGCTGCCCAGCTGGACAGCAGGCCTGCGAGCGGGCTGCTGCCGTGATCACACCCACCTGGCTGGCCTGAGTGGCGACCGTGCTGACATCTAGCGCCGTCGTGGCGTACTTAGACATCTGCTGTTGCAGCAGGTGGATGGTGCGGTCTTTCTCCTCCAGCTGCTGCTGCAGTGCCGCCACCTACCGAGCGGCATGGAAACTCAGCACACAGCAGTTCTGCCATCTCTGGGCTCCCAAGGTAACTAACCGCGGTGCGGCGCTTCTGCCTTTGGTGCCAGCAGCCAGTCCTTCGCTGGCGGCACGGTGGTTGCTTCTGACGTCACAGATAGCACGTCCTCACGGGTCACACACGCCACACTTCTATTCGCTCGTGCCTGGCGCATCCCGCATGTGACGTCACCGGCAGGCGAGTCGCTACAGGTTGCATGCCTAACATAGTAACTACCATTGCAGACAAGGTCGAGGTCTACGGTGCTCGCACCAATCGTCACACGCAGCCTACCGCTGGCCCGGACAAGACCTGGGAAATGAACTGCCAGGCGCCGATGCACCACCGGCGGGCTCCATGAATATGCATGTTGAATGCACATAAGCCACGTCGATCTTCAGCCGTCAACGCCGTTGAAACCTAACAATGCCCGCCAAAGCACTACGTCACCTCCCCTCCATCGACCGTGCTCGTTAGCCGCGACACCCAGGCCGCAACGCACAGCGGTTCATCTCCAAGACAGGGGGACCCTTAGCCGTGAAAACCGAAAATGACGTCATTGCGGCCGGCGCTAAAAGAGGCGACGTGTTTATTGGCCGACAGAAGGCGGTATTCAGGCTTTTAACAAGCTGGGCTGATGGTTTTTTCCACGCATTTTTCAACGAACGTGCCAAGTTGCTAGTGCATTTCGAAGTCCTCCAACCATACAAAAAAGCACATGAAAAGTCAAAAGTGAAAAGGGTTCATTTGAGACAGGGCAACTTCAAAACAAATAACATTGAAATAAACAAATCCGCTGCTTTAGTTTCAACCAATCAACATGCATCATCCAACCCCATAGCCAATGGACATCCAAGCACATACATTTGTTTACATTGCATTACATTATTTACGTTACATTCGTCTACATGTCTCATTTGTTCACAACTCCTGTTCCACGGCTGACGACGTCACCAAAGCGCCGGAACCGCAGCGCCTGGCGCAGCCGTCTGTGAGCACCGAGCGACGGCGACCCACCTGCTTCTTGAGGTCGGCGTTCTCCGCCGCCAGGTCGGCGCCACCGTCGACGCTGCCCCTGCCGTCTAACGACGACACCTCGCTGGACACCGACGTGCCGCGCCGGCCCGGCTGGGTGACGCCACATCGTGACGTCAGGTGATGTCACACAACCGTGACGTCAACACACGAACCCCAAGCGGTGTGGAGACTCAGGGGATGGCGTAGGTAGAAAGGCGAACTCAGCCGCGAACTTACAAACACTTGTCGCGTGACGCGCATTGGGACGGCTGCCGATAACCCGCTGTTAAACATCTCAAAACTGTGCGTCTAAAACGTTACTTAGTTGGTGCATATCTCACAACTGCAAACAGTGTGTTTAAGTTGCGCAGGTACGCCGCCCTCCGGTCCGCCCTCCCTCCTCGAGGAGGCCGCTGTGACCAGTGGCGCCACCCGATCGCCTCCCGAGCCGATACAGGCCGCCAGTCGCATGCTACACCGGCGTCCGCACGCTGCGGGGTCGGCTCACCTGAAGACTGTGCTCAAACGGATTGGACGTCTCCGACTGAAACACGCACGACAACTTTGTCAAATTGCTGAAGCGTTAGGAGTGCCAGCAAGCACACTAGACAAACCTAGTCATGGAAGGCTAATCGGAAGCCATAGCACGCTGGACGGCGCGGATCCACCGAGCATCGACCGCGCTAACACCGTCAGCCTAAGACAGGCTGCCCCGGCGGAGCTACTACATGGACACGGATCGCGACGGTGCTGCCACCTGTCCACCCCGCCGCCAGCCGCCAGGGCCCGTCACAAAAGGCGCCAGTGATGCGACGCTCGTGCAGTTTAACGCTTCGAGAAATTGGTGGCGCGTCATACACGTCATTCCGCGATATTCGATTCCGGAGCCAAGAAACTGCGTCTGCTCGCCCAGAAATCTCCGGAACAACCCGCCGCACGCTGGCGCCCCTGCTAAAACCCAGGAGCGAGGGGGTCCCAGGGATCTTAACAGGGACAGACGGTCACGGTGACAGGCCCCCGGCGGCCGGCCCTCCGGGCGCCGCCGCCTGCCGCTGCCGCTGCCGCTGCCGACGGACTCACATCCTGCAGCACGCGGCGCAGCTTGTGCAGCATGGTCTTGGTGTGGGTGAAGTCCTGCGCCATGTACATATACGTGTCCCGGTCGATCAGGAGCCAGTCCTCGGCGTCTTGTGTCGAGCTCTGACGACACGGGTCAGGTGTCAGAGATGACGACCCCTGGGTCAAGCTCTGGCGACGCAGGTCAGGGGTCAGAGGCGACGACCTCTGGCGACACGGGTCGGGGGTCACAGGTGCCAACCTCTGGCAACACGGGTCAGGGGTCACGGGTGCCAACCTCTGGCGACACGGGTCAGGTGACGACCTCTGGCGACATGGGTCAAGTGACAACCTCTGGCGACACGGGTCGGGGGACCGCAGGTGCCGGCCTCTGGGTCAAGCTCTGACGACACAGGTCATAGGTGCAGACCTTCGGGGAGCCAGCACAAGGTAAGGGGTGCTGACCCTGAGGTCAAGGGTCACGGGTTAGCGGTGACTGGCTGTGACCTGCGGCAGCGCAGGCCACGGGTGAGGGGGTCTGGCAGACGGAAACACCGGTCACTGGTCAGGTCAGGTCAGGGACTGACCTCTCACGACCGGCTTATGATGCGGGTGGTACTGGTCTCTGGTAGAGATCTTCCCATGCGCACCATATATGACTCAATAACCATCAGCGACCGAGTTCACGCCAACAATGACCTAACCCGGTACCGCTCGCGCTTACTCCGGTGCCAGGCCGATGGGCCACACTGTCAGGCTGAGTGACAGACTCATAGATGGCGTCTGGTGAAGGCTCACTTAGTCACGAGAGAACTCGCCAGTGATAACACGACGGAACAAACCCACAGCATGGTGTCAGCAAATCCCCCACTGTGGCGCAACAATACCCCGGCGTTTTCATCCACCGACTGCGAATGTCGCCGTTGCGCCACATACCGCGGGGGAGGGGAGGCTCCGGTCCCATTCTGAACACGGCCGACCGGTCTACTGTTGATCCACATCAGATAACGAAAGGCGGGACACGTGCTAGCTCAGCCTTAGCCTGCACCGGCCGGCCCGGGCCCATCTGTGACGTCACAGCGGCAGCACGGTGCGTGTCCCGCGGTCAGTCTGATCCAGGTCGGTTCAACGGGGTCACCGGCCCCGCTTCACAACGGGACGACCGCGGCAAGTGTCATTTTCGCAGTGCTGAATTTCCGGTGTAATTTTTCTGGAGTACCGGTTACAATGGCCCGGTAACTGGCTGCATTTACAGCCAGTGGCACGGCTCCGACTGGGTCACTGTATGAGCCACGGCAGCCACGGTGACCAACGGCCTTCTCCGTTCGCAAACTGACCACGGCTCCGACTGCGTCACTGTCTGAGCCACCGCAGCCACTGTTACCAAACAGCAGCCACTGCTGCCACCGGGCTCCTCCGTTCGCAAACTGATTACGGCTTCGACTGCGTCAATGTCTGAGCCACGGCTATCAACGGGCTTCTCTGTTTGCAAACTGATTATGTCTTCGACTGCCTCACTGAGCGACGGCAACCAACATCGCCACAAGACTTCTTCGTACGCAAACCGACCACGGCCCAGACCATGCATCATGATAGTAATCAGGCTCCATTGGTCACGAACTGCACCTGGGTCTAACCGGACTTCGTGACACGGTCCATTATCATTATGGACTTATAACGCACTCAGCTGCTGAGGCTACATGGCGTCTCATGCCTCTCGCCGAGCGGACACCGCGGGGAATCGAACCCCGTACCTCTGGTTTCCAAGACGGACAGCTTAACCACTACACTAACGCAGCTAAAGGCGTTTCTGGCTTACAATCTGACCAGCGCGCTGAGCGGGCTTTGTAACGACGTTAACGCCCATCCCAATCCATAAACTGACCGCTCTCTTGACCGCGTTTTATAATGTGGGAAACCGCCTACCACGACCTTATTGATCTGACCGCCACTACGACGGTGGCTCGTCGCAGAACACCTGTCACCAGCCGGAGCTCATGGCCCAGTCCCTGGCTTCACAAACTAACCGCGGTGCAATGACTCCCACCGGGTCAGAGACACGCTCACGCTCAAGCGGCCCGACACAACGCAGACCCCGCCCAGGCCGCCTCTGCGCCGCACGCCTGCGCGGGCCTTACGACGCGAGCTGACGCTCCCTCGCTCAGCAGCGAACCCAAGCCCCCAGACAACCCCAGGCTAGGCCGAGTCAGGCCCCCGACCGGCGACGGTGAGGTGCCCACCTGGCGGGGTGGCCGCAGCAGCTTGGCCGGCCCGGTCGGCTCCGGCGAGGGTCGGCTGGCATCGGCGCTGCTCGCCGCCCGGATCCTCATCCGCTGCAGCCGCGTGATCTGGCCCGACAGGCTGCAACAGAGCGCGTCGCGGCGTCAGGGCGGCGACGGCCAGAGCCAGAGGCCCGCCGCACGGCCGGCCAGAGTCAGGCAGGCTGCAACAGAGCGGCGCCGAGGCGTCAGGGCGGCGACGGCCAGAGCCTGAGGCCCGCCGCACGGCCGGCCAGAGTCAGACAGGCTGCAACAGAGCGGCGCCGAGGCGTCAGGGGCGGCGACGGCCAGAGCCAGAGGCCCGCCGCACGGCCGGCCGGCTCAGTGACATGACACGAATGGATGGCGAGTGAATGACGCGTCACGAATGAATGGTGAATGGATGGCATGGCAGGCGGATATGACGTTTGACAACTGGCGACAGGCGGTTGGTGTGGTCCGAAAAACTGCGATGGAATGCGAAAAATGCGCTAGGCATAGGCGAGCTTACGAAAACACCCAGTACCAAATGCGTTTATCCGCGATGGGCGCGACATCCAGGCGGGCGGACGGAGGCGTGACACGACCAAGACGCTCGCCAGTGGTGAACAGGCTATCGGGTCCGACAGCACAGGAACGGCGCGAGGGACGCCGGGAGCTGGCCTCGCAGCCGCCCTGGGCGACGGCGGCCGGCCGGGGCGCCCAACGCCGGCCACGGCAGAGACGAACACCGGACACAGCAGGGACGAACACCGGACACAGCAGGACCCAACACCGGACACAGCAGGGACGAACACCGGCCAGAGCAGAGCCCAACACCGGTCACGGCAGGGACGAACACCGGCCACAGCAGGGACGAACACCGGCCACAGCAGGGACGAACACCGGCCACAGCAGGGACGAACACCGGACACAGCAGGGACGAACACCGGTCACGGCAGGACCAAACACAGGCCACAGCGAGGATGAACACCGGCCACGGCAGGGACGAACACCGGACACAGCAGGGACGAACACCGGACACAGCAGGGACCAACACCGGACACAGCAGGGACGAACACCGGACACATCGGGACGAACACAGGTCGCAACAGGGCCAAACGCCGGCCACAGCAGGGACGAACACCAGCTACACCAGGGCCGAACGGGACGCCGCGCTGGGGTCGGCGTCAGACCGTAACTGGCGTCAAGGTGGCGCGATCCGCCGCCGCTGAGGCTCCGCGGCGCGCTCCCAATGCGCCAGTTCACACCTGGACGTGAGGCCGACGCGACAGATGCCGCGCAGACAGCTGTAGCGCAGACAGATGTCAGATCGCAAAAGGCGCATCAATCGTAAATGGCGACGCGATGGTGCGCGCTCTTCCACAGTCGGGACGGTCACAGAGGGCGTTCCCAACAGTGGCAGCTGGCTCTGCACACGTCGTAACACACCCTCAAACGAGCGCCGACGCCGCCCCACCCCCTAAAAAACAGTCCCGGAAGCGGGCGGCGGCCGGCCGGATACGGCTACCGTGCGACTCCCACGACGGACCGGCGGACGGCGGCGGCGCGGGGCGACGTCCGCGCCGCCGGACCCAGGTGTCCTGAGCCCGGACCGGCGCCTCTGGGCGGGTCCTCTAGCGGCACCCTCCGCGGGGCGACGTCCGCGCCGCCGGACCCAGGTGTCCTGAGTCCGGACCGGCGCCTCCGGGCGGGTCCTCCAGCAGCGCCCGTGGCTTTGTTATCTGGCTTTGGATGCGGCACGGGCGGCGGATTTGCCCGCACTGCGCTCGTTTAATACCCGTCTCCTTCCAGCGGATCTTCTAAAACACCCGCCTGTGCACACGGCGACGGCGCCTCGACTGGGCAGCCCGTGTCGGTTCACCGGTCCCCCCCCCCCCCCCACAACACGGGGCGGGACGGCCTACCGAGCCGAGCCGGGGTCAGAGGTCACGGTCCGGTGCCGGGCGCCGCTGAGCGCCGACGCCACGGACGCCTGACGCCCGTACAGGTCACGGGTCGCCGCCGCGGCCACCCCAGGTCAGCGACGGTAGTTCAAGGCGGGCAATCGGCGCAGAAACGGCCGGCCAAATTGCCGCATGCGGGCCGCGGCGGCGGTGAGACTGCCGGCCGGCTGCGGCGTGGCGGCCGCGGCAGAGTGCGTCGGGCAGTGCGTCGCCGGAACACTCGATCTACTTTGCGTTCTGTTACAACTTCAATATCAATTGCGACGGCGCAAGACACATGCCCGTAAGCGGGCGCCCGGTTAGGGACATTAATCGGGCATGACCTCTTTAGCAGAACACAGATACTGAACGCGACATAGAACGTATCCACCACCTAGGCGAACAATATGGATCTATCTCTCACGAAACATCGGAATGTCGTATCAGTCACCAAATGTGTGCCTTCGGCGTTACGGATTGGCATTGTGCAAGCAAAATTTGGGGAGTTTTACCAACAAATTCGCTTTTTAGGTAGTTGTTTATCCATCCATCGCCGTCGGCCTGATGTCCAAGTCTGAACCTACTGGCTAGCATCGTCCAAAACCCTGCATTAGTACGCGCTCGGGTGGGGGGTCAAACTGACCCTCCGACAGTTTTTTCCAGAATGGTTTCCGAACGTGTGTGTCATTGGGGCTTTACGACGCACTCGGCAGCTGAGGCTATGTGGCGTCGCCTGTCACTCACCCTGGCAGGAAGGGCGGGTACCGCGGAGAATCGAACCCCGTACCTATGATTTCCCAGACGCGCAGTGGTCAACGCAGACGCGTTAACCGCTACCCTACCGGCACCATACGGTTTCTGAACGGCGGGGCGGAGCCGCGCCAAATTTTGCATGGCTGTAGACAATTAAGTAGCAGTTCGTCTGGCATCCAAAATATAAACACAACTTGTGAGGTCGCTGACCTATGGCAGGTCAAAGTCATGTCATGGTTTCAGCGAAGGTAATTTCTAGGGAATCGTTCAATCTGATCCAACAAGGGAGTGTTAGACGAAGCCATAAATATCTGAGATACTTTATTAAGCAACACAGCAACTGAATAAGCAAATCACATTGACCTAAGGTCAGGTATGAACTTAAGACCAAGGTAAAAAACAATCTGTTTTATTACTCTAGCGCTTGTTGTATGTAGTTCCTGGTGTTCATTTCGAATTTATTGATGACGGGAATCGCATTATACACTTTGTATAGACTTCTTAAAAGTCAGAATAGGTCACTGACCTTGGATAACCCAGATTAGCAGTTTGTGTTTAGGAACGTACTGCCTAGAGTAATCTTTGTCGCTTATCCAGATGCAAAACTCAAAGCTGTCTTGTATGATTTTGTTCATCATGACATTCAAAAGGTCAAACAAGGTCAATGACTAGGATGAGCATGTGACGTTTTGCTTACAAACAGTTATCCAGGCTCTGGGGCCCTTTTGAGACCAGCCTGCAATTTGACCTTGTTTGACCTTATTTAACCCGAACATCATAACCTAGGAACCTCAAACTTTGACCCATAAGAGTTCACGTATAGGTCAACACACTCCGTGAATTTGGTACATCTAGCTCTTTTAGTTCCTGAGATCTCAGGAGGCTCAAGTTGCCCTCCCCCCCCCCCCACACCTGAGCGAAGGGTATCCAACCGGCCACCCGGGCGCGTGTTAACAGCCGTGTGCACCAACTGCCGTGGCGACAGCGACGCAGTGGTGGTGACCCAAGGTCTCGTGCTTCACATCACTGCCCTGTGGTCCACTCAGTCACGTCCAGATCCGGCCACACCACGTGGCCACGGTATCCAGATCCGACCACGCCGTGCGGCCACGGTATCCAGATCCGGCCACACAGCGTAGCCACAATATCCAGATCCGGCCACACCGCGTGGCCACAATATCCAGATCCGGCCACATCATGTGACCACGGTATCCAGATCCGGCCACACCGCGTGGCCGCAGCTCAGGGCAGCAGAGACCGGACCGGGGTCGGGGTAAGCAGCAATGTCACGGCAACCAGAGCGGGAGGGAGGGGGGAGGACGTACGCCAGACCCGAGCCAGACTCCTGACGAATTCCACCAGCGGGTGACGCGCACCGCACGTGGGAGCAAGTAACCGCAGCAGCGGCGAGCGACAGGCGGCGCGCGCCCGTGATTGTTGTTTGCATGCGCCAGGCGCTCTCCAAGGTGAGACCTCACTCGGCGTCACCACATGGCGACCAGCCGCCGTGAAATCGGCGTCAGAAAAACAAACCCGCCGCCGGCCGGCGACTACAACACGGCGCGCACCGCCCGGCTGGTCGACATACACTGCTCCAGGCGGCAAACGAGGCGCGGCCGTCAACGAAACGGCCGGCGCACGGTGGCAGTCAAGGCGCCGCGTCCGACAGAGGCCTGCCACACGGCCGGCGCTGGAAGGTCCCGCTGGGAGGGCCGACGACAGCCGGCCGCCGCGGGGAGGTTAGGCTGGCAGACAGCCGGCCGCGGTAGCAACAGACTGGCTCACGGTGCCTGCAGCAGCTGACAGCCTTTGAGGGCCGTCGCGTCGGCTCGGCCGTAGTTCGTCGTCTTTCTGATGGGTCAGTGGATCTATCTTCGTAAGTCAGGCGTTACAGCTAACATGGTGCCATATGGCAGATGCTGCAACCAGTATCGAATCACACGGATTTTTCGCACCGTACCCACGAGACGCGGACCAAATTATCATTTCTCCAGAGACTGCATTTGCCACCGGATACATTTCAAAATGTGATTTGCGGGGCCTTTCAACTCGTCTTGTTTTTTCACGAACGCTCAATTTCGCTCCACTAAGACCTGCTAGCATGTGATGAACAGCCGAATCATGGCATGTCTTGTCGATAGATCGCAGCTGCCTACGCTGCTCCCAGAAACGGCGTGGCCCAGGCAGTGTTCCTGACGTCGCCGATCAACAAGAGGTTTGATAGAGACAACCTCAGAGATGTGATGCACACACGCTAATTGCTTTGCACAAAGCTTGCAACGAACCCCATTGTATGGGAAAGGGCTTCTTCCTGATGAAAGCAGGATTTGCGTTAACCAAGCATGGCCGCCGCATCTCAATGCCAGACAGAACATTGTTCTTGACGAGGTCAGATGACGCGTCGTCACGGGACGTTTACTGCTAATGCGAGGACTTCCAGAGAAACGGACCAAGACGTGCCCAGGTACCAGCGGTGCGAGAACTTCCGGAGAGACAGACCAAGACGTGCCCAGGTACCAGCGGTGCGAGAACTTCCGGAGAGACAGACCAAGACGCGCCCAGGTACCAGCGGTGCGAGAACTTCCGGAGAGACAGACCAAGGACGTGCCCCGATACCAGGCCGGCTCAGTTGGGTCCGTTCGCGTCGACGAACACTGCCAATTATCTTACGCCTGCTGACTGAGTTGACACTACAACTGACGCGACCAGACTCAATAAAATGAAATTCAGTCATCAAATAACGGCGCAGAAACTCGGCTACCAAAGCAAAGAAAGCCGTACCGCGTGAGACTTTTGGTCTCGTCTAGTCTGGTCTGGGGCGTGGGGGAGACGTCACCGCGCCTCCACACCGCTCGCCCGACCCCTGGGTCTGTCCTGACCCGGGGCGGCCGGCGGTGTCAACCACCCCGCCCGACCCCCTGGCGTGTCCTGTCCTAACCAGGAGCGACCGGCAGGGTCACCGGCTGCCCGACCCCTGGTGTGTTCTGACCCGGTGCAGTTGGCGGGTCACCGCCCCCCCCCCCCCGACCCCCGGGTCTGTCCTGACCCGGGGCGGCCGACGGCGTCGCCTCCCGCCCGACCCTCGGGTCTGTCCTGACCCGGTGCACCTGCCGGCGGGGTCACCGCCCGCCCCGCTCCGCTCCCGGCAGTGTCCGTACACGGCGGTACAGTACAGCGGCGCAGTTCTGCGAGCACACACCCGATCAACAGTGGTGAGAGCCACCACCAACACCAACCGCCATAACTAGACCCCTGTGCCAGAAGGCGACGCTTCCCATCCAAACCGAGGAGAGGGAGGGGGGGGGGGGAACTGGAGCAACCACAGAGCGCGGCACATGTGAGCAGCCGGTGCGGGAGCGGGGGGGGGGGGGCTACAGTCCCCCCCCCCACTGCACGCGCAGCTACAGCCGTGGTACGGTCCACGACAGTGCGACCATGGCACGTGCGGTGCGCCGCCTCAGCGGCCGCTAATAACACCGGACAAACACAGACAGCACCCGAGCCGGCCGGCCGGGTCGGCGGCCGCGGGTGGCGCTCAAGGCCGCCGCCCAAGCTTTGCCGGCTGTGCGATCGATTCGTTTGCGTCTGCCACACGCCCCACCACTCGAGAGCGACGTGGGCAAGGTCAGGTGACGGACGGCAAAACGGCCGCGCGCGTCGCCAGAGCTCTCGCACTTGACTGATAGTTCTGTGATCTGATCAGTGTTCTAAACAAGCATCCTGTCGTGAATTCCACGCGCAGGTCTGTGGCACGCACCGTTACCAGATACAGTGCTTCCGTTATCGCATATCCCTCACGGATATAAGGGAATATCAGCATATCCACGCCAGCATCGCATCATAATATCTGGTATCACACGTGAGACCCCCCATTACATGCTCAGTTGCGAAAACCCACAGACCCGTGCACTATGCACCGTAGCACACGTCGTTACTAGATAATAAATACCAATGCAACCGTCATAAATCAGTCCGCGGAAGCCCAGACACGACGTCACGTAGGGGCGCTGGTGATTTATAGCTGGGGTTTCGTCCAGCGCGTGTGGTGGCTGTCGTTACCTGGCAGCTGCCACGCGGCAGCGGCCCGACAAACACCAGCCCGACACGTGCAGCGCCAGCTGGACAAACAGCACTCACAACACTTCAAGATGGTCAAACGGCAAATGCCAAATGGTGCACGTTCTCATCCTTCGTCTTTGTCATTAAGTTTATCACTTATTTACCGTTGAGCTCACGGGTTCGCCATGTTGCCAAACAACCACAGATCAGCTGGCAAAACACACGCTGGCGGATTGCGCATGCCTGTGAAAACCGGGCCAGTTGCAGCTGGGCTGGGCTTGGGGCGGGAACTGGAAGTGAGAGGTACGCTCTCTCACGCAAGTCACGGCGTCAACAGCGCGCGTCACCGGCCGTCAGGTGTGCGTTCTACTCCCCTGACCGCCGGCCGTCGGGTATGTGTTCCACTCCCCTGACAGCGGACCGTCAGGCATGTGTTCCACACCCCTGACAGTGGACCGTCAGGTATGTGTTCCACTCCCCTGACAGTGGACCGTCGGGTATGTGTTCCACACCCCTGACCGCCGGCCGTCAGGTATGTGTTCCACACCCCTGACCGCCGGCCGTCAGGTATGTGTTCACCTCCCCTGGTCGCTGGCCGCCCCTTCTTGTCCCTGGGCTGCGCAGCAGCGCCATGCCTCGGGTGGTGTGGGGAACCGTGTGGGTGCGGGTGGGAGAGCGTGTGGGGGGGGACGGGGCGGGGTGGTGGGAGGGGGGGGGGGGGTCGACGCAGCCTGCAGCCAGAAGCGTGGGAGGGAGAGAGAGTGACCAGCAGTACGCCAGCTGCACAGCCACAAAGGCTGCACCGCGCCGTCACACAACCAAAGCATGCAGCGCGTGCACCAACAGGGCCGCCGCCGAGTCAGCGTCACACCGTCAGCACCGGCGGCGCTGACACGACGCAGCCGGCCGACACGGCCGCCGGGACCACAGAGAACGGCGGGCCGCATTCCAACAGCTCCGCCCCACCCCGGGCCCGGCTGCGGCGGCTGCGGCGGCGGGGGAGGCGTGCCGTAGCGCTCCGAGCCCTCCCCCTCCCCGTCGCCGGCCGCGCCTACCGCGCCGGCCCAGCTGTGGGACCGGTGACTCAGCGGCGGCCGCCCCGGCCCGCTGCCGTCGCCGCCGGGGTCCCGCTCCGGGGTCACGCCGGCTGGAGACGGGCCTGTGCCGGACGGCACGGCGGGGTGCCCGGGGCGCTCGCGGCAGCGCCGAGCCCGGCTGGCGCGGGACACAAGAACGACGCTGGCACGCCGACTGGCCACCTAACTCACGTAAAAGCGGCCCTCTCTGTCAACTCAACACGCCCGAGCGGCGGCACCTGGCGCCCGTCAGCTGTCGCCAGTCAGCGGTCGTATCCTCGGCCCGACCTTGACCCCGGCCCAAGCGCAGCTACATCTCGCCTCTGAGCAGCCCTGCATCGTGATTGGCTGCTCCCTGCTACACGAAACCGGCCGGCGTACGTGCCGCCAGCACTGCGCTCATTTCTTATCGGCGACACATCGGTTGATATCGAGGAGTGCTGGGTTAAACCGGACCGCGGCCGAAGCAAACAACCCCAACCATTCAGCACACGCCGCTTCTCTGATACAGAAGGGTGGACCAGGCCGAGCGGCCGATACATGCGCCATTCCGTCCGACCTGTCTGTCCCACTGACAGAGAAGGGTCGAACAAACGACATCCTCGAAGTACAGACACACACGCACACACACACACACATACACAAGGTTAGCTGCCAGTTGCCAGTTTCACGTGGGTGGACGGCTCACCAGCGCCTGGTCAGCTCAGCCCCCGTCCCCCTCAGTCCCGTTGCCCCCGCCGTCTCCGCTGTCCCGCCCCCCGCCGGCCGTCGCTCCTACCTGACGCTGCGGCCCTGCGCCCCAGGCCGGGCCGGCGCCACCGGCGGCTGGTCCCTCATCTCGTCACACCGCCAGCGGCCGCGGCTTGACCTCAGGTCAGCAGACGACCTCGCCGGCCAGCGGCCGGCGCCGGCCGGCGGCGCTCTCCCGCACTGTGGCGGTCTCTCCCCTCTCCCGCACGCGCTCGGTCCCAGCACTGTCGCAGTCTCTCCCCTCTCCCACACGCTCCGTCCCTGCACTGTCGCAGTCTCTTCCCTCTCCCGTACGCTCGTTCACAACACTGTGGCGCGTCGGCCGTCTCCCAGGCACCGGTCTCGGCGTCCCAGCTCCTTGATCTTGGCCTTGACCGCCGGGTCTCGGTCGCCGCCGTCGTGTGTCCGGCCGCTGCGGGCGGTCTGCTGTCAAGTGACGACTGCTGCCGGACACGCGGCGTGCCGCCGGTCAGCACCGACGCGGCCGGCCGAGGGACGGCGGCGCACCGTCGACCTCCCGCCGAGCGCCGACACAGCACCCGCGTCCGCAGCGGCGGCAGCGGCGGCGGTCACCCCTGCCGTCCTCCTCCGACCCCGCGCCGCCCGCCCGCACACACAGCGCTCCCGCACTGCGCCCGGCGGCCCGCGGAGCCGGACTGCCGGCGGCGGCGGCGGCGGCGGCCGGTGCCGTAGTACACGCGGCGCTCTCACCGCTCCGCGGCGGCAGCGGCGGCAGCGGCAAGCCACGGCCGCAGCAGCGGCAGCGGCGGCAGCGGCGGCGCGGCCGGTGGCAGACGCTGCGGTGGTCGCGGTCGGCGACGAGAGAAACCGGCTGGTGTAGGAAACCCCCGCCCGGCAACACACCGCCATGAGAGGGACGAGAGACAAAGGAACGCCCGCAGCGTAGAAAAACCGCCGACACCGGCGCCGCCTGCGACAAAGGAAAGCGCATAGCAGGCGACACAGGCTGAGGCAAAGCGCTGAACCGCCGGACGTCGAAGCGTCACGCGCGGTAGCCCCCAGCGGCCGGCGCCGGGGGGGGGGGGGGGAGGCGTCAGGGTCAGGGCCGCTCACCGCCGGCCGGCCCCGCCCCGCCCCGGCAGAGAGCGGGGGAGCGGCCGCCGGGGCAGGCCGGAAGCCGCTCACATCCGGTGACGAGAAGGTGAGCGGCGGAGCGGACCGCGGCGCCCGGCCAGGCCGAGAAGCCACCGGTCGGCCGGAACAGGAGGCCGGCAGAGCGGGCAGGGCAGCGGGCAGAGCGGGCAGGTGCAAGGAGCCGGGCCCGGGACCGGGTCGGAGGGACCGCAATAGAAACAGATGGAAAAAAGACAAAGCGGTAGCGAGAGATGAATCATCGGGACCGATCTACAAACACGGGAGCAGTCTCAAGGGAAGAGAAAATAAGGGACCCGCAGTAAGAACAGCAGCACAAAGCCACCGAGTCACGCCACCGCCAACGGGCTGCAGACAGCTGAGGAGACACAGACACGGTCACGGTCATGACACGGCCGCCGTCTGGTCATGCCGGCCGCACCGGTGCCATCTGGAGCGAGCGGCCATGCACCAGCGCCGGTGACCGCATTCCAGGCCGGCAGGGCCACCTCTGCGGGCGCGGGCGCCGCCGCCTCGTCAAGCAGCGACGGACGGCGCCGACGCCGTGTCCGACACCCGCGCAGAGGTCGCGGCGCTCCGGAAGGGTTGGGGCGCGACGAGCGTCCGTGTTGGCTCCAGCGCGGCTCCAAGTGTCAGCGGTGACTCGGGGGAGCTGGCGGCACCCGGACTGCCGACGGCGTACCCCCGGACAGCGCCACCGGGGCTGCCGACGGCGCACCCTCGGACAGCGCCACCGGGACTGCCGACGGCGTACCCTCGGACAGGGCCACGGGGGAGCTGGCGCCACCCGCACCGTCATCGGCGTACCCCCGGACAGCGCCACCGGGGCTGCCGACGGTGTACCCTCGGACAGGGCTACGGGAGAGCTGGGACCACCCGCACTGCCGACGGCGTACACTCGGACAGAGCCAGGGGGAGCTGGCACCGCCCGCATCGCCGACGGTGTACCCCCGGACAGAGCCAGGTCGTACCAATCCCGGGCGGCCCCGTGTGCACCGCCGCCGGCCCTCCACCCGCCAGCTGACTGAAGACAACTCCGGCTGCCTACTCCAGACGGCTCGCTGCTCCCTGATAATCCTCAGCCTCGGTCGCCGCGGGCACCGAGGGCGCCTCTAAAGCCACGGCCGGCCGCTGAAGCCGGACCGGCGCGCCAGCCGTCGAGCCCGGAGGGCGTCAGGGAGGGGGGGCTGTAGCACACCCGGGGCATCGATCGGCGACAGGTGTGCGGGCCGCGCCGTGCCGCGACCGCCGGTCCGGGACCGCCGGTCCCGCTCCACGCTCCAGACGCCGCTCTGCGATCCGCTCCACTAGCGGCGGGGCGGCGCGGACCGGTGCCCCCCCCCCCTCCCCCCGGAGCCGCCCCAGCACCGCCGCCGCCGCCGCCGCCGGACCGGCAGCGGGCGCCGTGGATGTCGTGACTGGTGGGCAGGTGCCGGTCAGAAGACTCCGATTGGCATGGCTGGCGTGAAGCCGAGAGTACGTGCTGGGCAGGCCTGGAAGCGATAACCTTGAGCCCGACACGGGCGTAACGCGAGCTGCCAGCTCAGCCGACAGCTCCGCACCGCGACAGCGGCACAGGGCTGGGTCGGTACGCGGCCCAGGTGGGCCGTCTGGCCAGAACGAACGCCTCGACCAAGTGCCGGGTCGTGTCTCTTCCACACTCTGCCGTACGTCCTTCAGTGACACTGGACGGACACCCGACACTAGCCGCTGCCGTGGCCCTTACATAGCGCATCCAAGGACCGGTCGGCCGCCCGCCCAGTGCCGCTGCACCCTGACATGACCTGACCCGAGGTCGCACCGTCCCTCCCGCACATCCGAACCCGTCACCGCTCAGCAGCAGCCGGCAGGCAGGACGGGGGCAGCCGCGCCATAGCTGTAGCCCGGTCTGGCCGGCCAGCGTGACAGCGGTCCACAGCGTCGGCCCAGATCAGACCCCGCCCCGCCCGGCAGCGGCCCACTTTCCCCCTCGGTCGTGCACGCGCCCGGATAAACGGAGGCCGACCGACACCGGCCGGCCGGAGGAGAAACGGAGATCGACCGGCCCGGCTGAACACGGCAGAGCCGCGGGAATTTCCGATAGAAGCCGCGCGCCGCCACCAGCTGTCCATAACCCCCACCCGCCAGAAATGCGCCCGCGTGGCGCGAAATCGACTGCGGGCGACGGATTTCCGATACGGGCGGACGCCAGCAACAGCTGCCCATAACTCGCGCCGCGGGCGTCAGGGTCGCCGCGTCACGCGGCGTGACAGCCGCCCGCGGCGTGAGAGCCGGTCACGGCGTGACGCGGCCGGCGGCGTGCGGCGCGCGGTCACGGCCAGCGGCCGCCACAGCGGCCGGCGAGGGCGGCCGGTCGGCCACCGCGCTCGAGCAGGACGGCACACGCGCCGGCGAGGGCGGCCGGTCGGCCACTGCGCTCGAGCAGGACGGCACACGCGCCGGCGAGGGCGGCTGGTCGGCCACTGCGCTCGAGCGAGGTGTGACACGGCCGGCGACAGGATCCCGCCATCTGACCGGACGACAGGTGTCTGCCCGGCCGGTCGTCTGCTGCTGTCGCAAACGCAACAGGTCGGCGCCAGTCGGGTGGCCGGCGCGGCGCCGAGGCGGAGTCGACAGGCCGCCGCAGAGACTGCTGCAGAGGGCCGGCCCGCTCCCGGCCAGCCGCTCTGAAAGAGGGCCGGGCCGGGACGGCCGTCCCATCGCCACCGCATCGCATCGCATCGCATCGCATCGCCATCGCCATCGCAACGTGCACAGCACGAGGCGATCGCCGGAATCCAAATCCAGACTGCTGTCCTAGTCAGTCGCGTTACTGCCTGTAGTGGCCGTCAGTCCGTAAGCGCGCAACGCCCCTGACAAGGACCGCTGGTCTGCAAAACTCCCACACCGGCGAAGATCACGCCACCGACAATGCGGAGATAGTGCCCAGATCCGGTTCCTTCTACAGCGCGGGCGGCCCGGACCACTCCCGGATGACTGCTCTCGAGACGGAACCGTCCACTGGTGCCCGCCGGCGTCGCCGCTGCGTTGACATAGGCTGGAGGCACCTGTCGACGCCGGCCCGCCGGCAGCCGGCTGGCGGGGCGGCCGGGCCGCCGGCGCCCGACCACCAGCGGCGGGGTCAACCGCCGACGGGCCGAATGGCCAGACGGCAGAAGACAGAGGCGCGCCCCGGCTAGTGCGCGGCAGCCCCACGCACGCCGCTGGGCAGCGTCTGCGCTCGACCGATCGCTCCAGAGGAAACGCCCTCGCTCACCAGAGAGCAGGGGAACGGACCAAGCCCAGCAGCGGTGGCCATCCACTCCCGGCCAACCACCACGGGAAGTGAGGGGGGAGGAGGGGAGTCCAATGCGGGTCGACCAGGGCGGAGTCCGCTTCTCGCTGACTGTCACGCCGCGTGAGCGTAGGTCCACACAAACACGCCGCGTGAGCGTAAGTCCGCACAAACACACCCAGGCCACTCGGCACAGATCCACCTGGCACTACCGGCGGCGGGATGGGGAGGGGATGGGCTGCCGGCGGCGCGTGACGTCCGTGACGGTCGTGACACGTCCTGGCTGCAGACTCTCTGTCACGACGCCGCCGACGGCAGCCGGAGCGGGGCGCGAGGCGCCGGCGAGGCGCGCCGTCGCCGCCGCCGCCGCCGCCGTCTCCGGCACCGATCACCGCCGCACGTTCAGCACGCGCACCAAACAGGGAAAGCTCATCGCGGCGGCGCCCGGCGAATTCCGAACTCGCCGGCGGCGGAGGTGCCCGGCCGTCGCGCGCGCACTTGCCCGCGGGCGTGTTCGACTGCGCCCGGCCGCGCCGGGGCGGCGGCGCCCACCCGGCGGCAGCGTATCGATTCAACGACGAGAACGCCCTGGCTGCCGCGCACGGCGGTCTCCAAACCGAGCCGGCCGGGGTTCTCAAGCTCAGCGGCGGGAGCGGGGCCGGAAAATACCGGACGCGGGGCGAAAGGGTCACCTTTTTACTCGCCGACGAGAAAGCCGCAGAGGTCGGAGGGCCTGACCGCGGGGGCGCTCGGGTCACGCTCGGCGTAACGGAGACGGCGCGGCGGGGCCGGCGGCTGCGGCAGCGGCGGCCCGCGCCCGGAGGCGCTGGCCGGGTGCCGTCCACGGTCGTCGGCAACACAACACCCTCGCGAGTACGTTGGTGAGAACGACGGCCCGTGCAGTGCCGGTCTCCAGGCCGGAGCCGGGGCGGCGGCAGCGCTCGGTAAGCGCTTCTCACAGGAGACCTATGACAGGGCAACTGGTAGTGGGTCCGCGCTGACCGCTGCGCCGGCTGTGCTCAGCCACAGGCCTGGGGTCGTGACCGACGCCAGTCTGGTGCGCCTCGCGCCTCCTCACAACGGCACAACAAC